GCAGTGCAAGGTGTGACTCTTCGGGGCCGCTCAAATATTTAAAGGCCAGGCCGTTTAATTTAATCGTCGACTCATGTGGCAATCTAAAGGGGGCGGACGAGGTGCGGGGGAAGTGGGGGTTGGAGGGCAGGAGGGTGTGGGAGTCGAATAGGAAGGCGCGGACGGTTTTCCAATAATATCATTTTTTTCTTTCCTTTCCGAGATGTGCGTGTAATTCCGTTGGCCGTCTTGAGAAAGGGTGCGCGGACCGAGAGGGAGAGAGGGGAGGGGAAGGGAGTCTTACCGGTCTCTGGGGGCACGCACCGTGAAGCCAAGAAGGTCGCGGCGGTCGAGGCGGCGCGCCAAGACGGCGGGGGTCTTCGAGGCGGAGGCCGCGTCTCCCAAGGAGGAGGCCAAGACGGCCAAGACGTTGGCCAAGACGTTGGGGGCGACGGTGCGGCACCGCGACCGTTACCGTGTTGCCGCGGTGACTTATTCACTGCCAGGCAAACAGTCTCTCTCTCTCGCACCCCTACGGCTCGCCCCGTGAGTGCGAGAGAGACACCTTTCGGAATCAGCCTGCCGAGGGAGAGCGGCGGGCTGTCGAACCCGGCAGCGCATAGATTCGTCCATCGAATCAGTTTTTGCTCATTGCCTGCCTGCGAGTCGCGGCGACGTGGGCCTGGAGGCCTCGACCGCAACGCCCTGGAACGCCAGGAAGGGCGCAAGTCGGGAGGGGAGGGGGAGGGGAGGGAGCTGCTCCCGTTTGCCGCGGGTAAACGGGACCTTCCGGCTGCACTCCTTGATCGCGACCCCCTCCCCCTCTCCGCCAGGCTGCCCCGGCAACGTTTTTCGCCGTGACAGGTCTCGATTATTGTTTCACAACGCTGCCACTCGCGTAACCTGCAATAACCAGAGAGAGAGAGAGATGTAAGTCGTGTTTCTACTTCCGGTGTCATTTCCTCCTCGAAGAGTCGTCATCCTTGAGTCGATTTACAAGAAATTGGACTGAGGCGGGCAGGCATCACTTTCGCTAAATGCCGCCGCGCGCTCCGTACACCGACACACACAGGCGCACACACACACACACACCGCTTTACCTTTAATTCTGCAGGCATCCCCGTCGTCGTCGTCGCCTTGCCACGTAGTTTCCTTTCATGCCTTTCTTTCCTTTCTTGCGGAGCAATGCGATGGCTTTGGTTTGGTGGCGCGGCTGGATATAAGAAGAGATCTGTGCCGCCTTGCGCCTCTCTTGCTCTCTTTTCGCGAGTCTCTCTCTCTCTCTCTCTCTCTCTCTCTCTCTCTCTCTCTCTCCGATGCGGATGGAACGCGGCGCCGCTTTGTCTCATTTCTATAACTTCGCCCTGCTTCCCCCCTTTCCCTTTCCCCCCATGTCCCGCCCCTGCGGCCTTCTTTCCTTCCCCATTTACTTCAAGTCCCTCTCACTCCGCTCCGGGAGATATTGTGGCCTCCTTCTTCTTCTGGAGGAGGATCTTGTTGTCTTTGATGGCGGCACGGCACGGCACGGCACGCCACGCCGCGGCGGCGCGCTCTTGATTTCCCAGGCGGTGAGTGCGGGGCTCCTTGAAGCTGCGCGTCGTCTCAGTGGACGGACAGCAGACTGATTCCGAGAGTCGCTTTGGTCGCTCTGTCTCCCTCGCACCTATAGGCGGCGCCCGCGAGTGCGAGAGAGACAGAGCGACGAAAGCGACGCTCGGAATCAGTCTGCAGGCGGACGGACGAGCTCGCCGAACAGCGTCTCATCCATCAGACTACAGACTACTTCCATATTATTTTTACCATCTAACTTAAATTCAAATTTTGATTTTAAATAATTTTTTTAAAGTCCAGCCTCTCCAGCTGCACCTCTCGGCTGGGCGTCCGCGGACGCGTCCGCGTGGGTGGGAGGGAGACGGCGGCGTAGAGGTCCGGCCAGCCGCCAGGTTCGGTTCGGGTGCGCGCCGCGGCGTTCGGGTGCCGTTCGGGTGCCGTTCGGGTTCGGGTCGGCGAGCGCGCCGAGTGCCCTGGAGCGTGACCCCCTTGGCGTCCTCCGGCAACATATGCCACCGCAGCGGTTCGGAAGCAAGGGAGGCGAAACAACAAAAACAAAAACGTCTTCTCTGTCGCACCCACGCTAATGAGACGGAGAGGGAGCGAGACGCACTTCCCGGACGCGTCGCTCTTGTTGTTGTTGTTTTCGGTGGTCATCCGGACGGCCGTCGCGCGCCGGACGCGGCCGGAGTCTGTTGTCCATATTTTTGCCGCATTCTTATCTACTTTTGCTTCCTCTGGTGAATGGCTGTGGTTTTGTAGTGTGGGCGGGGAAAGGATAGCTGGACCGCGCAGGCTAGTGCAGGCGGCAACGACCTCGTCGCTCTGTCTCTCTCGCACTCGCGGGGCGTGCCGTTGGGGCGCGAGGCAGACGAGTTCCAGCGCCTCCTAATTCGTTTGGAAGTCATTGGGGCTCGTTTTGGGTGGGCGACGTGGGGCAGAGCGAGCATGTCGCAGCCTGCGGCAGATACTCCCGTGTCGGCCAGTGACTGGCGTCGCAGTGATTTGGGGCCGCACTGGCGTCTGTTTCCGCTTATCGCCAGGCTGCGCCACCAGACCCATTCCGAGAGTCTCGCCCTGTCTCTCTCGCACCCACAGCGAGACGCCCCGCGAGTGCGAGAGAGACAGAGCGACGAAAACGCCTTTCGGAATGCTGGCCAACCTGTGGCTGCGGCTTTCTCACGCTGTTATTCCGTAATGAGAGATTGCTCTGATACGGACGCAGTGGCGGAAGGGCGGACGGACGGACGGACGGACGGACGGACGGACAGACGGACGGACACGCAGATGGAAAGGCGAGATTTCCATGGAGCAGAAAAAGGCGCATAGAGCACCTGTGGGAAAGTGGGTGCCTTGCAGTGCCTTGTTGAATGCGCCCCGGTCGCGTTCCGGGCGCGCGTCAAGCACGGTGTAGTGCTCCGTGACTTGTGCGAAACGCTCTCGCGGGGTGGCTGGCTGGGTGCACTGCCGGCGCGGCGTTGATACACGCCTTAATCGCCTAACAGACGCGTTTAAGCGTTTCGCGGGCACTCGCAGAGCTTATTCACATCTTTGGCACTTGTTAAGCGCACCTTGCGCACATCTAAAGCGCACGTTAAGCACATCTTAAACAAATCTTAAGCACACCTTAAGCGCACTTCAGCCAGATCTTAAGCGCACACTAAGTTCATCTCATCTTAAGCACACTTTAAGCACATCTTAGGCACACCTTAAACACACCTTAAGAACACCTTAAACACACCTCAAGCGGTTATTAGATGTAGGCACCCAGGGCACACCTACAGCGCCCATAAAGCACACCAAGTGCACTATCCTTAGCACACCTTAAGCGCAACTCCTGCAACCCCTAATCCCTTTGGCAGCTCATCTTAAGCTCATCTTATCGTTGTGGCAGGCGGCCACGCTCATCAAGGGGCAGTCTGACCACACCGCCCCCATCCTTGGCAATCAAACTTCCTCATTAACAAAGCCGCGGACGCTTGGAAACTTTCGCGGCTTATCTCTCTCTCTCTCTCTCTCTCTCTCTCTCTCTCTCTCTTCTCTCTCTCTCTCTCTCTCTCTCTCTCTCTCTCCCGCTCGCCAGCAGGGTCATTAGGACGCTCGACTGTCCCCGCTGGCCAAGCGAGGTGTCGCGACCGTGGTGAAACAATCAATACACGCAGTGCATCCCCACTGTCTAACCCTTGAGTGTGTGTGTGTGGCCCTGGTTACTAATTGGCTTGACGTCACATTAAATTTGAAAGCTTTGCGCTGCGCTCGCATCGACACGACGTGTGCGGGGGTCATGGTGGTGGTGGTGACAGGGCAGGGAGCAGGAACACACACACACACACACACACACACACACACAAGATCGCGCGCGAACGCACAACTAACTGCGCGGCCGACCAACTTGTTGCAGTAGGCTTTGCGCTCTGCCCCCCTCCCCCTTTCCCTTCCTCGCTTCATTAGGATATGGCTCTCGCGATATGTGTGGTTCCTTATACGATGCGGGTGCCGCGGTCGACACGGGTGTTGACATTGTTTTCTGTGTGTGTGTGTGTGTGTGTGTGTGTGTGTGCGTGCGTGTGTGTGTGCGTCTTCCTGTCTGGGTGCGCACCACTTAATGCCCCGAAGGGTTAAGACGTCAGCGGGCCCACAGGCTCGCCCTTCATCAGCCACAATTACCCCGAAATTGAATTAGGCCGCCACACACGCACACACACACACGCGCGCGCGCGCGACATTCACTTGACTCACACCTGACGTGATTCACGCTTCCCAATTTGTTTGCGTCTGCCTTTCTCCACACACACAAACACACACACAGAGGGTTTGCGCAGGTGTGTCCGAATTGGCGCTCCAGGGCTGTCCAAGGCTGTCTGTGTGTGCGGCCCGTCGGGGTGACTTGAACGCTCGGGCTCTGCGCCGCTGCGCGCCTCCGGCCGCTAAATGGCGGAACTACTAGTTAGCCGCGGCCTCAAGGGGCCTTAGAGGACCGCAATGAGAGCAATCAAGTGCCACGGCACGCCGCGGGGCCGCGAGGGGGGTGGGGAGTTTGACGTTAGGAGTGCGCGCCTGTTGCTGAGTCAGACGGCCGAGCCATACGGCACCCGGTACCAGTGCGGTACCAGTGCGGTACCCGTGGAGGGGGCAGGTGCGAGCGCGGCGGAGCGAGCCCGGCCGAGGCTAGCCGCCGCTCCCTCCCCCCGCTTCCTGCCTTCCTCCTGATGCTGACAGTTGTTGTGCTCCACCTTGCAGGTCGTGCCATGGGCCGGGTGCTGCTGCCTTGCTGACGAGCCGGACCGAGCCAAGCCGAGCCGAGCCGAGCTGATCGAGAGCCGCCGACGACGACGCTACGCCGCCGACGACGCCGTCGAGGGGGGGAGGCCGACGCCGCGCCGCGCTACGCCGTCGGAGAGTGAGGTGGGGGTAGACGCCTTGTGGAGGGGGAAGCCAGGCACGCTCCCTCGGCCAATCCTAGCCGGCCTTTCTTATGATGTCATCGGAGGAGGAGAGCAAATGCTTGGGGTTGTACGGCGACAAGCTACTGAAGAAGAGGCAGCGGCAACGCGTGGACGCGGGCGAGCCTAGGAACAGCTACTCCTCCATCCCCAACTTCAGTTCGCGCCCGACCTTCCTCAGCGGCAGTCCGTACGAGCAGCTGTTCAGCCAGCAGCACAGCATCGGCTTCCTGGGCCAGGGCTTCGGCTCGGCCAAGATGCTCAACGAGTTGTTGGGCCGCAAGGACCCCTGCGCCCTCGGCGCGCTGGGAGGCGTCGGCGCCGTGGGGGGAGCCGTCGGCGACGTGGACTGCTACAGCGGCGCCGTCAACAGCGCCGTCGGCGTCATGATCCGGCGCGGCCTCGTCGACGAGGACCACATGCTGCGCGACATCCTGCAGGGCCGCAAGAAGGAGCTGCTCGCCCTGGAGCAGGAGCTCCAGAGCGGCGACCACGACCCCGTCAACAACAACAACAACAACATGGCGCTGGCCAACAACAACAACGACCTCAAGAACGGCAGTGACAGTAGTGACGCGAGTGAATTGGTGTGCAGTGTTAGTGCCGGTGCGAGCGGCAACAAACTGGTCAACGGCGGGGACCTGGCCTCCGGCATGGCCTCTAGCATGGCCTCCGGGATGGCCTCCGGCATGGCCTCCGGGATGGCCTCCGCCATGGCCTCCGGGATGGCCTCCGGCACCGCGGCCGACGGCGGCGCGAGATCGCCCGCGCGCCTCAACGACAGTGACAAGCACGTGAACGGCGACGCGGCCGAGTCGGACTCGGACATGTCAGTGCACTCGACGGCCACGACGACCGACGTCAAGGACGTGCTCGCTGACGACGCGGAGGACGACGACGACAAGAAGTCGAGCGGCAGCGGCGTGGACCTGAAGAGGAAGCGCGTCGAGAACATCGTGTCCACCATGACGAGGTCCTCGCCCCTGCCACAGCCGCCACAGGGCCCCCAGGCCGTCAACGGCTGCAAGAAGCGCAAGCTGTACCACCCCCAGCAGCACGACGCGGGGCTCGGCGTGGCCATGGGCATGCAGGCCCTCATGATGGACGACGAGGACTCCAGCACCATCCGACAGAAGCACGCCGAGAAGAGCGTGCTCAAGTCGCAGCTGCGCACTATGCAGGAGAAGCTGGTGGAGATGCAGCACCAGTACGTGCAGCTCTGCACCCGCATGGAGCAGGTCGACACCCAGGACCAGGACTTGGACGAGTCCGCCGCCGACGACAACAACAGTGACATCCTGGAGCCGGAGCGCGAGCCCGCGGACCAGGACCAGGACATGGACGCGGACCAGGACGAGCAGGACGGCGACCAGGACCAGGACGCCGACAACAGCCTCAGCCTGTCCGACAAGACCGGCAAGGACGACAGCTCGCCGCCCGCCACGCCCGCCAAGGAGTCCTCCGTGAAGGAGGCCGTGAGCGCGCCGACGACGCCCAGCAGCGCGACCTCGCCGGTCGTGAAGCAGATGGCGCCGCCCAAGATCCACCCTCACCACGGCAACCCCATGTTCCCGCCGCACCCCATGCAGCTGGCGCTGATGCAGCAGCAGGCGCTCGCCAACGAGCACTACCACCCGCACCACCCGCACCACCCGCAGCACCACCCGACGGCCCTCAGCATGTACCTCGGCGTCAGCCACAAGCTGTTCCTGGAGCAGCAGGCCGCCAAGGCCGAGGCCGCGGAGCAGCAGCGCCAGCAGCAGGAGCGCAACCGCGAGCAGCACCACCAGATGCAGCAGCAGCAACAGCAGAAGGACTTCTCCGAGAGGTTCGCCCTGTTCCGCAGCGCGCCCGTCGACCTGGACGGGCTGGCCGACGTGCTCAAGTCCGAGATCAGCTCGTCCGTCGCCAACCTGGTGGACTCGATCGTGTCGCGGTACGTGCAGCAGCGCAACCGGTACAAGAGCGGCGACTCGGAGCAGCTCAACAAGGACCTGCTGCTGGCGTCGCAGCTCCTGGACCGGAAGTCACCGCGCACCAAGGTGCTGTCCGAGGGAAGGCCCAACGGCCCGCGGATGAACGGCGCGCCCTTCAACGCCAGCACGCCCACGCAGTCGGCGGCCTGCCCCACGCCGGGCAGCAGCGGCGCGGCCGGCAACAGCGACCTGATGCCGCCCCACGTGCGGCCCTCGCCCAACGCCATGATGTTCCCCACGCCCAAGCTGCCCAACGCCGCGGCCGCCGCGCTCTACTCCATGTCCGGGCTCGGCCAGGGGCTCGGACAGGGCCTCGGACAGGGCCTCCCGCACGTGTTCGACGACCGGCACCGCGAGGGCGTGCCGGAGCAGAACGAGGCCCTGAGCCTCGTGGTGACCGCCAAGAAGAAGCGCCACAAGGTGACGGACACCCGCATCACCCCCAGGACCGTGTCCAGGATCCTGGCGCAGGAGGGCGTGGGCCCGCTCGGCCCGCTGGGGCCCATGCAGTCGCCGCTGGACGGCGCCGGGACGCCCCAGCCGCAGCACCCTCCGCCGGCCGGCAGCCCCCGGACGCCGACGGGCACCCCGCAGCCCCCGGACAGGCAGCAGCAACAGGCGGCCGGCCCCCACCAGCAGCAGCAGCAGCAGCCGCAGCAGCCACCCCAGCCGGCCATGCAGCACCGAGGCCTGCCGGCCGGCGTGCCACCCCACGGCGCCCTCGGCTCCCACGGCGCCCTGGGCGCGGACTCGCCGCCGCCGCCCGGCCAGCGGCCCTACCACCCGCACGCCTCCGTGCCGCCCATGCTGCCCGTGTCGCTGCCCACCTCGGTGGCCATCCCCAACCCCGGCCTGCACGAGAGCCAGGTCTTCTCGCCCTACTCGCCCTTCTACTCGCACGTGCCCCACATGTCGGCGTCGCCGCCGCTCGCGCTCCGGGACTCGCCGCCGCCGCTGCCGCCGCTGCTGCACCCCGCGCTCATGGCGGCCACCCACGGCCACCACGGCGGCTCGCCCGACTACGGCGTGCTGCGCGGAGCCTCGGGGCTGGACAGCCTGGACCGCTCCGACTGCAACTCCGGCGACGGCCCCTACGACGGCCTGTCGCAGTCCATGTCGTTCAGCTACCGGATGAAGCACGAGGACCGTGAGTACTCTGCTCCCTCTCTCGCATTTCGAATTTGCCGCCACCTGTTGCATGCCGCCCCGCCTTCGCAGCGCCCCTCCGGGGTAACCGATATGACCTTGTTGAAAATTGATGCCCCATTAGCCGCTCCTTCGCCTGCGGCCTGGTGCCGGACGGCGTCCCCCGTCTCTCTCGCACTCGCGGGCCGCGCCGCGGAGGTGCGAGTGAGACGGCAGCGCTCCGAGCCAGTGTGCCGGCGGTGCCGGCCGTCGTCACGACACGAAGGGAGGAGGGAGCGCCACGGCGCCCGGCGGCGTGCGGTCGCCCAACCGCAGCCTGTCCTGAGATATCAAAGCGTCCTTTTTTATAATTCAGCGTCGCGTTGTGTTGACTCGATTCCCCATGCACAAACGGCATGCCGTCCTCGTGGCCGGGGAGGGTCGCGGCAGTAGGGTCCGGGTTCGAATACGCGCGCAAAACAATCATTTTTATTCATTTTTGATATCGCAGTCGGACTGTCTGGCGCCGGCCGAGCCACGTGCACGTGTTAGGCCGGTCCGTTGTCGCCTCGACCCTTGATCCGCGGGGCCTTTTGCTTTTGCCAAGTCATCATCTTTGGCCTTTCGCCCGCCGGATCACGTGGGGCTTCATCCATCCATCGTATGAGGAGGAGCCTCCGTCCGGCCGGCCGGGGGCGGGGCGGGGCGGGGCGGATCAGATGGAAGGGTGATGTGTTTGCATGCGCTTGTAATTGGATTGAGGGCAAGATAACATTGAGGAGGGGAAGTCTTAGAAGTCACTGGGACTCGAACCCCGGCCGCCTCGGTCCCGCCCACCCCAAGCAGTGCCAGCCCGTGCCGTGTGAAGACAGCCCGGCGTCGGAAGTCCGCTTCCGCTACAACCCCCTCCCCCTGCCCCGCTCCCGGGAAGCAGCGCGTTCTCCAGTGGTGCGGCATTTGTGGCGCTTCGCTTCGCCGGCACCAGTGGTACTTGCCCCCGCCGCCCCTTGCGGTCGAGGACTGTCCGCGGCTATCACCGGCCGCCCCCGCCGCCTTCCGGTATGCGTCTCAGTCGCACCCCCTCGGCCCGCTCGGTCGCCCCACTGGGAAATGCATACCGCACGAGCCGCGTCCGTCACGGAGTGAAATCGAGCCTTGAGTCGGCGGCCAAGCCAGATCGCGCTAAAATGGAGACCGCCTCTATAACCGGATTGGTGGGCATGCCGGGGCGCGGCCGGGGGCTGAGGGAGGTCGGGGCGGGGGCGGGCGGCCCCGCCGCGCGCCTTGCCGGTGTGCCGCGTCGCCGCGTCCGTCTACAGAAGCCTTACAGCGGGACGGGACCTGCAAGGCGGCGCCAGGCGGCGCTAGGGCCAGATCGAAGACCCACTGCATGACTCTGACCGCAATCCGCGGCCAAGCCGCGGGTTCGAATCCCGCCCGGGGGGCCGCCGCGCGGATCTCGATTTTATTTTTTGTTTCTCGTTGCAGCCTCGTCGCTATCTGGGCCCCACTCGTCCACGCTGACGCCGATGCACCTGAGGAAGGCCAAGCTCATGTTCTTCTGGGTGCGGTACCCCAGCTCCGCGGTGCTCAAGATGTACTTCCCCGACATCAAGTTCAACAAGAACAACACCGCGCAGCTCGTCAAGTGGTTCTCCAACTTCAGGTGAGTTCAAAGTCGTGGCCGAACTGGCCCGGGTTCGCGCCCGGGCCGGAGTACTTCTTTTTGTCTTCTAGGTGCGTTTGGAATGACTGCGACCATGCATCGGGCCGCGTGGTCCCATCCCCACCCCTCGTTGTCCCCCTCCTCGCCGAGCAAGTCGCCCAAGAGAAAGCTACTTTTTTTACCTGTATGACTCCAGTTCCTCCAGACCTGATTGCCGCGCGACTCAGGTAGAGAGAGAGAGGAGCCCCCTCCCCTCCCCCTCCCCTCCCCTCCCCTCCCCCTCGCGCATACAATCAAAGCACACATCATAGACGACGCGCTGCCGCCGCCAACGGTCGCTTTTTGTGCTGCATCCCCCCGGCCGCCCCGGCCGCCGAGCTCCGCGACGACGACAGAGAGAAGGGGGAGAGAGAGAGAGAGAACCGCGGCTCAGGCAAACTGCAAGGCGCGGCGAGATTTGTAATTGGTCCGACTGCGACGCGACAACGGCGAGGCAAGACTTTGCGCGACTTTACGTTTGCAGCCCAGGTGGAAGCCGAGCGAGGCCGAGAAAGGGCGCGAGGTTTAAAAGGCGCGCTGCCTTTGAGACGAGACCAAAGGGTTGCCTTCGGATCACTTACGCCCCAAAGCCCCCCCCCCCCTCTTTTTTTCCCGCCGCTCCGAGGCGCGAGAGTTCTTCTCTCTGGCGCGGCGGTCTTTCTCTTGCCCCTCGTCTGGTGACACCTGGGTACACACCTTGAATGCCCGCAACGCCGGCGGCAGTGGCGGCAAAAAGCGATGAGAAAGGCGCGGCCCGGAAGAACGCCGAGAAGTGCGAGATGAAGGGGGCGGGGCGGGGCGCCGCCACCGGGGGGCGGCGCGGCGCCAAATGCAACTGCCCAGCAGACTGATTCTGACGGTCTGTCTCTCTCGCACTCGTGGAGAGTCTCGTACAGGTGCGAGAGAGACAGAGCGCAGCTCGGGCCCTTTGGCCGAACCGCACTTTGTTCATCGCGGTTTTCAACCCTTTTGCACGAGCTTTACTCGCTCGTGAACTTTCATTCATTTTTTCCTGCTTGTCTTTGGTTTTGTCTTTGCCGCCGGGCGGGCGGACAGCCGGACGCAACGCGGACGCGCGGGCGCCGAGATCACCAACCTCGTTTTTTCCGTCGCATCGTCCGTCTCGCTCGCACTACTTTCTGCGCCGACGCGCCTGCCCGTCATGCGTGGCGCTAGTGGCGCGGCTGTGTGTGTGTGTGTGTCCGTGTGTGCATGTGTGAGTGCGTGCATCTGTGCACACACCACGCACCTCCCCTGGTCACACTCGGCGGTATACGCTCACTCTTTTTCGTTTGTGGTGTTTACACTTTGTCGCAGGCGGGGAGCGGGGGGAGGGGGTGTCTTGAGCACGGCTTGCTTCCTCAGTTCCCCTTCCCTCTTTTCCTCCTTGCTCCGCTCCTTCCCGTCCGCCTTATGCACTCGATCGAGGCCGCCTCGCACCTGGACGCCTGCAGATGCCCGTCGTCGGCGTGGTGGCGGTGGCGTCTCTCTCGCACTCGCGGGGCTCCCCGTGCAGGTGCGAGAGAGACAGAGCGACGACGCTCGGCATGAGTGTGCCGAGGTTGTAGACCTTGCCGTGGGTGCGCGTGTGGCTTGCCGCTGGCTCTCCGATGGCTGCGACATGTGCACCGCCGCCCCCACGGTCATTTAGGCCCCACGGCCATTTCCCGTTGTGCCTGCAGGTCGATAGCCAGAAGGGACAGTCCAAGTGACTCTATACTTTTCCGTAGTGGTGTGTTTTTTGTTGTTGTTGTTTTTTTTCGTCCGCCGCGCGAGTGTCCGTCGAGGAAACTACCCTGTCGGCCCTCCCCAAAAGCCATTAGTGCCCGGCTGGGCGCGCTGGCCGTCAGGCGCCGTCAGGTGACACTCAATCTTGCGCGACGCGTCGCTTTGGGCGTCGCGGAGCGTCCCGGCGCCGCTTGACCGGCCGTCGCGGGGCTGCGTCTCTCTCGCACCCCTGCGGAGCTGCGGAGCGCCCCTCGAGTGCGAGAGAGACGGCGCGGAGGCGGCCCGCCGCTGCCTTGCACGCGACACTGTTGTGCCACGCGACACTCGCCAGTCCGTTTTCCGTTTTCGGATATTCTTTTTCCTCTTATCTCGGAATCCACGCGCGGCGCGGCGCGGGGCCGGGCCGGGCGCAGCGCGGGGACACAGCCGCGCCGCGTTAATTTTGTATAAGGTGGATCGTCGTCATGATTGGCCGGGGGGCAACCCTATGTGTGTGTGCCTTTCAAGGAAATAAGCCGCCATCACGGCGCGGCGCGGCGCCGCTGTGTGCAGAGTGTAGAGTGTCCCCCTTCCCTTGGCGTCGCGCGGCGCGCCCGGCGTTTTGTGGCGCGGCCGGCCGGCCGATGTCCACCGTCTAATGGCTCCTCCCCCGCAATATGTCGCGGCGCCGCGGCGCGGCGTCCACCTCCTCCCGGTAATTATTTTATCATTCCCTGCAGTGGCTCTGCGTCGCACCCCTACGGCGCGCCCCGCGAGTGCGAGAGAGACGGAGCGAGGCCGTGTTTTATGCTTCCTTGCATGGGCCGCCGTGTGTCCGCGAGGGGGAGGGGAGGGGTCCGCGATGTCCGCGCGGCGATAACAGGTGGCCACCCTGTCGTGTCGCGGCCGGCCTGCACACCGATTCCGAGAGGCGTTTTCGTCGCTCTGTCTCTCTCGCACTCACGGGGCGTCCCGTAGGGGTGCGAGAGAGACAGCGCGACGACTGCCCAAGGCGGCCCAAGGCCCGGCCGAGGCGACGACGACCACGCCACCGGAAGACGGGGAGGTATTTGCCGATGCCTGATGAGGCGCGGCCTAATGTGATTGCCCGGAGCGCGTTTGCAGTGTGCCGGCCGAGGCGGTGTGGACGCCGCCGCGGAGGCCGGGGTCGATTTATGAGAAACTCCGTGGCCCTAATGGTACTGTTGCTCCTTAATAGTTTGGCGTGTAAATGAGTTGTTGTGGGCGCCGGGGGGGGGGGGGGGAGAGATAAGGACGTTCGCGAGTCGCCAGCCCCGTCTGTCCGGCAGGCCGGCAAGCAAGGGGTGGTTTGGCGGCGCCGCGGCGCCACACTCCGTTCTCACCTCGCGTGCCAAGTTCCGGCCGGAAACGGGCCATTTCCTTACCGCCCCGGCCGAGCAGCCGGCCAGGCGGGGCAGGCCGAGCTGGCGACACGCGATGCGGTCCGGGCAGTGGACAGTGCAGCGCGCCCTGCCATATGGAGCCTAGGCGCGTCATTACTGGTTGATGGACGCGGAGTTGTTGTCGCCCAAAGTTTCGGGGCGCGCTTCGCTCAAGCTTGGCTCCGCGCCGCACAGTGGGCCAGAAGACCGGTGGAGGCGGACAGAACTCGAGACGCGTTTTGAGTTCCAGAGTCGCTAAACAGGTCTCAAACGGAACGTGTGACCCCACCAATGGATTCCTCGTTCGGAGAGCCATCCATTGGTGGGGTCACACGTTCGTTTCGAGTCCCATTTAGCGACTCTGGAGCTCAAACCGCGTCTCGAGTTTTGTCCGCCTCCACCGGTCTTCTTGCCCACTGTGCGCCGTGCCGCGCCGCTCCGTCGACGGCGTCGTCTCGGCCCCGCCAACTTGGCGGCATCATGCCAGTTTGAAATCTCGCCGGCTTATCTGGGAGTGCCGCAAGGGCCGCAAGGGCGAGGCGCACTTGGCACGGCCGCCTTACCTCGCAGGGTGCAGCCTGTCTCTCTCGCACCCACGCGGGGCGCCCCGCCAGTGCGAGAGAGACAGAGACAGACCTCGCTCTCGCTTGCCGTGAGGTCCGGCGGTAAATGCCGGGACGGGACCTGGTCGGGACGGGACGCGAGTTGTTGGCAACTCCAAGTGTGTGGCAAGAGCCATTAGGCCGGGCGGGCCGGGCGGGGCTAGGCAGGCGTTGCTAGGGGTGCCACCAGCCACCGCCACCCTGGGGGCTCGCCTCAGAGTCGTTTTCGTCGCTCTGTCTCTCTCGCACCCGTACGGGCCGCCCCATGAGTGCGAGGGAGACGGCGCGACGAGAACGACTCTCGGAATGAGTCTGCAGGCCCGCCCAGGCGCGGCTAGCTCCTCCAAGTCCGGACAAGCCTTATTAGCGTAAAGCGGGGTTGTCCCAAAAACTGGCGCTCCAGCCAAGCGGCGACCGCGAGGCGCGTCTTTTGTTCCTTTTTCATGTCGCGCGGCCTGTCTGTCTGTCCGTCTGCCTGCATGTCTGTCGACCCGTCGATGTCTCACCCTTTCGCTCGCGGCTCGCGTGAGTAGCACGCATTACTGCGGGCCGCGAGCCGCGAGGCGAAACACGGCCGTGTCTCTGTCTCTCTCACTCTCGCCCTCGTCGCGGGGCGCCCCTTGGGTGCGAGAGAGACAGAGCGACACTGTGGGGAATGAGTCTGGGTTGGCACCGCAGCACCTTGGCGAGTCCCTACGGTGGGGCGGCAGGGCCGGGACTTACAACGCACCAGCCTGGCCAGCGCAACTCCTGCAAACTTGCTGCTCCGCCCTCAATTTGCAAGTAGCTTTCGCATTGTTTGGAGTTTTGAAGTGAGCCGGGCCGGCGCGGCCCTGCCCGGCCCGGCCCGGCCTGGCTGCATCTACCCCGTCTTCGCCTGCGCAGCCCGCCTCGCCTGCACCCTTGCCTCCAATCTCTTCGCCAGGCCAATTAAAAAGACTTTTTTCTCCCCGCCGGTCCGGCTCGGCCTGCCGGGCCTGCCGGGCCTGCCGGCCACGGAGAACCCCCAGTAGTCCGCCACTCTCGCTCTCTCTCTGTCTCTCTCGCCCCCGCGGCACGCCGGCCTTGAGTGCGAGAGAGACAGAGAGTCCCGTTCGGCATCGGCCCGCTTCCGCGAGTTCAAGACGAGGGGGTCCATGCCTCTCCATCCCGACGTCGCCAATCCCGCGACAACAAAACGACGAGCTTCTTGCTTTCTTTCTCTCTTTCTCTTTTTTCTGCATTTTCGCTTTGTGCCCTTCCTTCTGCGCCGCTCTCTCTCTCTCTCTCTTTTGGCGTAATTAACCGGAAGCAAGTTTGCCGCCAAAAAGGAGGAAGGTATAAACGACTTATCGGGCGTCTTACTTGCCCGCAGAGCGGAGGCCGACGGGGAGCCCCACCCACGGCAACCCCGCGGGACGGGAACGGGTTGGGGGCAGGGCGCGGCACGGCGCGGCACGGCGCGGCCCGAGGGCTGCGCTGACTAAGTCGCGAGACACAATTAACATTACTTACTTATGACATGGCCTCTCATTAGCAGTGACGAGGTGGACGAGGCGAGGCGTGTACACTGTACGTACACTGCAGACACGGTGGTCCGCGCGCGTCGTCTGCGGCGGCGACTTGCGGCCGTTTGTCATGCATTCTTTCTTGTTGTTGTTGTCGTCCATTCATGGCGCTGCTCGTCCTTGTTGTTGTTGTTGGGCGGCGTGTCTTGGCAGTGCCGGCCCGGCTCGGCTCGGCAGGGCAAGCAAGTTCGGCCGCAAACTTGGCGCGCAAAGTTTAGCGTCGCGTCTTGTGATTAGCCTTCCGAACCGAACACCCTGTCTGTCTCGCCCTGTCCCGCCTGCCGCGCCGTCGTCGCGCTGTCTCTCTCGCACTCGCGGCGCGTCCCGCAGCGTGCCGCAGCGTCCGCGGGGGTGCGAGAGAGACAGCGCGGTGAGTACTTCCGACCTTGGCGGGCAGGGCAGCTGCGGCACCCACTCCAGTCTTGGAAGTATCCGGGGCTTTGGGCGCTCTGCTGGCTGGTCCGCCGTGCCGCCGTGCCGCCGTGCTCGTTAGGTGTCTTACAGGGCATCGCAGACAACTTTATAATTACAGCCTGAACACCTCCATCGCGTCGTCGCCGTCGTCGCCGCCCCTCCCTCTTGATTCCCAGACTGACACCAGCACTTGGCCATCCTTTGGGGAGCCGGGAACGGAGAGCCCTTAGCGCCCCACAGTGGGCCGCGCCGTGCCGCGCCGCGCCGCCGCGCGAGGACGAGGACCCGCGAGGACCGTTCTCGCCGCCTTTTATATTTTCTTCGATTTTTATGGATCCTCATCTTTGGCGCCCGCTCTTCTGTCTCTCTCTTTCTCTCAATGCCGTATTGCCCTCCGCCGCAGACTTTCCACCCGCCTGTCTGTCTGTCTGTCCGTCTGTCTGTCCGTCGGCCAGGCCAGGGCAGGAGACACACCCAAGTCCCGTATAGCGCGATAGGACTACTTGGCAAACACCGCGCCGACCCACATCGTAGCTCAGGATGTTGCGCGGGCCTAACGGGGCAAAGCCTGTCCCTCTCGCACACACACGGGGCGCCCCGTGAGTGCGAGAGGGACAGAGCGACGACTCAGTTCGGTCTGCCCCGCGGGGCGGGGGCTTCAGAGGCGAACTCGTCTCGAGGCGAAATCCAGCCACGAATCTCGATCGCTCGGTTTGGCTTTTATTTTGGCGCGTTTAAAGGGACGCGGCGGCGCTGCGAGGGGCGTGGCCCGGCGTGGCGGAGACATCGCCTCTTTCTCCTTCGGTTAAAGGCCCTCGACAATGGCCTTGCTTATGGGCCGCGCACGCGTCTATCCAGTGTGTGCGTGAGTGTGGGTGTGCGAGTGAGAGAGCGAGAGCGTGTGGTTTAAAGGGCAGCTGTTGCTCGAAGCAGCTGCCTCCGGGTGCGGCCTGGCGGCGCGCCGTGGCACGCCGTGGCACGCCGTGGCGTGGCGGACAGGCCAGGTATGTGTGGCCAGCGTGTATGTGCCCCCGGCCCGGCCCGGCCCGGCCGGCCCCCTCGGCCCGTGCTGCTGGGACAGCTGCTCGGAGGGGAAGGGTGGCGGGGGCGTGAAGCGCGGGGGGCGGCGGGGGGCACCACACCGGGCAGGTGCGGCTGCCCGACGAGCGACTCCGTCTCTCTCGCACTCGCGGCGCGTCCCGTGGGGGTGCGAGAGAGACAGACTGAGTCGGGCGCTGCTTGCTGGAGGAGAAGCTGGCCGAGGTGAAATATGATCGCGGCGACCTCGATGCGATACCTCGATGGAAGGCCCTAATGCGACGCGACTCTCGGAAGGAATACGATTATACTGTGCGAGGGCTGCCCTGCCGCCGCGGTGGCCGTGGGCCGTACCGTTCCGGCCGTCGCGGTGCGCCAAGGCAGCGCCGCCTATCACACACACACACACACACACACACACACGCACGCACGCGCCGTGGAGGCAAGGTGTGCGCACGAGTCGAACCGTGTAGAAGTCCGCCCGCATCTTGCGGCACGCCCCGACCAGCCCCGACACGCCGAGTCGACGACCGTCTCTGTATATAGGTCGCCCACTTTGATGGAGTTGCGTCTGTGTGTGCGTGTGTCTGTGTGTGTGCGCCTCGTCACGCGTTTTAAAGCGACGACCTGGCATCGCTGTCTTTAAATCACACCGCACATCCCTTTGCCGGAAGCCGAGTCATGCAGTCAACCCCTCCCCTCCCCTTCTCCCTCACCGGTCAAACCAGGTGTGTGTGTGTGTCGCTGCATTGAGGGGTGCGCGGCCCTCTCCGCGCGCTCCCCCTGCCCCGCCCCGTCTTGGAAGTCGTCTTGGAAGAAAGGCCGCGGTTGAGCCGGCATCTGCGCGTCCTGGACGTCGACGCCGTGGTCCGCGGCCGTTGGCTTCCGTTGGCGGCAAAGCAGCTCGGCGACGAGAGGGTCTCGCTCTTGTTGGCAACCGGGGCGACCGCGCAGCACACCGGGCACCACCGGGCCGGCTGTGATCTCGGTTTTGGCGCCAAACTCGCCCAGGCTGTGTGAAGGGCGAAGCGTTGCACAGTGGGCCAGAAGACCGGCGCGTTTTGAGCTCCAGAGTCGCTAAACAGGACTCGAACCGAGCGTGTGACCCCACCAATGGATTCCTCGTTCGGAGAGCAATCCATTGGTGGGGTCACACGTTCGGTTCGAGTCCCATGCGGCGACTCTGGAGCTCAAAACGCGTCCGGGATTTTGACCGCCTCCGGAGCACTGTGCGTCGCCTTGGACCTTTGGGCTTGCAGTGTGGCAGTACGGAGGCGAGCAAAACGAAAGCATTGACGGCCTTCGTTAGGCCCGCCGCCGTGCGCCGCGCGTGGCTTCGGCCGGCTTCAGCGCCAAAGCCGCGTCGCTCTGTCTCTCTCGCACCCCTGCGGCTCTGCGGGGCCCCGCGTAAGTGCGAGAGAGACAGAGCGACGACGACGAGTTAGCAGCGTTGGGAACAGAATGCGCCTTGTGGTGGCGCGCAGCGCACTTCACGCTTGCCTTGCCACCGCACTGCGCTGCCTCGCTGCCTCCTCGCGGGCCTAAATTTCGAGAGTCGCGTCAACGCGAGTGTGTGCAAGTGTGTGAGTGAGTGTCGTCTGCTCGCCGGTGTGCAGTGTGTCTGCATGCCGCACGGCGTGCCACGGCGTGCCACGGCCGTTGCGATACATCGGCGACCCGGTTCGATGGCTCTCGTTGGCGCGCGCCCCTCTCGCAACCCTTCCGTGCACCTTATTGTTTGGCTCCGTGTGGCATTAATTGGCACTCGTTGCGCCCCCGCCCCGCCCCGCCACGCCCCGCCACGTCGTTATCACGTTAGGGACGAGACGACGCGACGCTGGTGGTGGCTTCGAGTGTCAACTCCTCAACTCTTCGTTCACCTCGACCTCCGGGAGCGAGCGCTGCTGCCTCGGCTGCTGCCGCTCCGGTCCGGCGCCTATAGCTCTCGATGCCCCCCCCTCCCCCGCCCCCGCCCGCCCCAAGTAACCAAGTGCGCGTATACTTTTCCCCCGCTGCGTGTCACGCGTGAGGTGACGATCACATTGGCACTTGAGGTCGTCCTGCCTGTCGGGCCTGCCTGCCTGTCTGTCGTTCCGCCTGTCGGCCCCTCAAGCCGCGCAGACGGAGGGCGGCAGGCAGCGAGCGCGCTCGCGGAAAAGCCCCCCGAACCGTGCTGGCTGTCTCTCTCGCACCCCCGCCGGCGGCGCCGCGAGTGCGAGAGAGACAGCGCGATGAAAAGCTCGCCGTGTTTTATTCCAGCAGGGCGAACGGCGTCTAAATAATTATGGCGGCGATAAGAATGATAATAATGACGCGTGGCGTGTGTCTGTCTCTGTCTCTCTCTCTTGTCGCGTGTCCCTGGGCGTGTCCCTCTCCCTCTGTCTCTCTCGGCGCCTTTGCTGCCGAATAAAACTGGAAAGAAGTCCCATTCCATAAGGTTTTTACGGGCCTGCGCTGCAAGGCGCGGGGGCGGGCGCGGGCCTCTGCAGCCTCCCCCTCCCCCTCCCCCCTCTCTCCTGCCTTGTCAAGTTAATCTTGTCACCGCGCTCTCATTGCCCGCGCTGAATTTCCCATCGCGGTCCGACGGCTTTGCCGCTAATTGGCGCGGATTATTGAAATCTTGCCGGAATTAGCGGCCGCGGGAGGGAAGGGGAGAAATAGGGAGTGCATCCTCCGCCACGCTGGCCACCGCGAAATCGGCTGAAACTCAACATCTCTCTAACGGAATGTCTCTTTCTGGTGTGTTGCAGGGAGTTCTACTACATCCAGATGGAGAAGTACGCCCGGCAGGCCGTGAGCGAGGGCATCAAGCAGCTGGAGGACCTGAGGGTGCTGGGCGACAGCGAGATCTACAGAGTCCTCAACCTGCACTACAACCGCAACAACCACATCGAGGTGAGCATCATGACAGCATTCTCTCTAGTCAAGTCGGGCGCCTTGCACGCCAGCATAGGCACCCCGTCGAGTGGCTGGCCGCGGCGGGTTGCCTATGCCGTCGGTCCCAGGCGCCCGGGCGCTCGGGTGGACAGCCCGCTGGGTAGCTACGCGCGGCGGGTTGCCTATCGTCGCATCGCAGGCGTTTCTCTTGGTTCCCCTCGGCAGTTTACTCACTTTCTCTTCTCCTCTCTGCTCGCAGGTTCCGCAGAACTTCCGGTACGTGGTGGAGCAGACGCTCAAGGAGTTCTACAAGGCGATCCAGGGCGGCAAGGACACGGAGCCCTCGTGGAAGAAGGCCATCTACAAGGTCATCTCCCGCATGGACGACCCCGTGCCCGAGTACTTCAAGTCGCCCAACTTCCTGGAGCAGCTCGAATGAAACGAGAACAAGCCCCGTGCTCGCCCCCGCGCGCCGTCCTGCAGGGATTCGTAAATTCCTGCTCGATGACGCTCGAGGCCTGGTCGTAGCGGCCGCGGAGTGCCCGCCAGCCGGATGCCTCCTGGGGTACGCCCCCTGGGGTACGCCCCCTGGGGGCAGCCAGCCCGCCGCCTTGGATGCGTGGGCGCGCTGGCCCGGCGTGACTTGCCACGGCGGCGCTCCGCGGACTCCCCCGCCGCGACCAGGGTAGCACGTGGTGCTTGCTCGGACCTGGACCCAGCCACTGGGCCAACCAGCCCCCCAGCCCCCCACGGATCGGATCGGATCGGCCTTCCCGATCCCTCCGGCTTCGGCCCGACCGGCTCGACGGCCGGGGTGTTGTGATACCGTCCGCCCCGCCTCGGCCCCACTCGGCGCCAGTGACAAAGACTTTCTCATTCCGAATGGTTATTGTATCATATTTATTGTTGATTCTGTGACGCCAAGCGCACCACACACCGCCCTGCCCAGCCCAGGGCAAGGCCCAGGGCTGCGGCCCTGCCACGCCAAGGCACAGGCCAAGGCTCAGACCAAAGAGCAAACGAGGCGCCCAGCCCGGCTGCCAGCGTGCGGAGTGGATTCTTTCTTTTTTTGTACAGAAAATTATATAGTTTTATTGTTTATGTAATTTTACGACAAAGAGAAGAGTAATATGTTTGTACAAAATAAGTAACACTATTGAAAATTTATGGAAGATGAATACCAAAGGAGACCCGACACCCAGTACGATTTTATTTGTTTGTTGGTTACGGTCGGGCTGCACCGCGCTAGTCCAGCGAGAGACTGTACGATTCCTTGTTTGCTGATTTTTTACTGAAAACTCTATTGAGTTTTGCTTGTTTGTTTCATTATTAAGATTATTATTATTATTATTATGAACCTATCGAAACCACTATTATTATTATATTATTATATGATTATTATTGTCATTATTATTTTTTTTACAATGACACCTCTGTGTGTGCACCGATAGCACGTTATAATTTTAAGTTGTAAATACCGTTTTGTTTAAAGTCACATGATCTCACGACTACCACAGATAAAGAAGAGTGTAGCGGGTGGTTAAGTATTAAAGATTGATTATTTTGACAGATCGTGTGGTGAGTTTCCTAGTCAAGCAAACTAAAGCAAATCTTTCTTAAGGTTAAAATGTTCATATTTATATCAAAGGGTATTGCCGTTTTACAAAAATAAATATTTTGCCTTCATGTGTTTAACCACAGTGTAAACTAATTTTGTGATATATAAAATTTAAATTTTACACTAAAGCTTTTGATAGCTGCTTTCCATTATAACTCATGGCAAATGCTAAAATTGTTTTAGGTATTATTGCTAATTGGAATTTGGAAAATACATTTTTGTTATTTTCTTTAAACGAATTGAAATAATGTGTACATTTCTTTGCTCCTTCTGTTTCTTCTTTTGTTGAGGTGTCATGATGTTATGCTTCGACCGCATCCACACCTTGGCAGTGCCAAGTTGGCATACATGTGAGGCAGAAGCCCTTGTTACTCGCTTGGGGTCGTACACTCACTCTCCGTTCATTTTCCCTGGAATGACAGGGACCGGCCCTGGACCACACACACCCCGACTGGCACTCAAAGGCCAAGGCCGGCAAGGCCCATCCCCATCACAGTTTGTAGGATACAGAGCCAGAGAGCCAGAGCTGGCACTAAGGGAAATGAGTATGTTATTCAGAGAACGGGAAAAACCTTCCCCATGAGCTACACGTATGCCCCGATTTAGTGCCCATTGCAGTGCAACCAACTAACAATAACAAGAGTTTGTAGATAGTTTTTGTCAAACGTTTTCTTTCTTTTTTTCTAAGAAAAAGTTTTACAAATTTTTGTTTATCTTAGTCACCGTCATGGGCTTTGTTTCCTGTTTACCGTGGTAGATAGTAATAATGATTTATAGACCTTGTTTTGTTTGAAAATTAATGTTTCACGTCATTCATTTTTTTTATAAACTCATCTCTTTATTGTTGACCTGATATGAATGTGATTGTCGCCCCAATAGCTTTATTGTTGATTAGCAGGGAAGCAGCTGTAGCTTTGACTTGAAATGGTGCGGGATAGCCTTCAGGCTACCTTCGGGTCGACTGTCTGTCTGTCTACTCTTTAAGGTGGCACCCTGTGCTCCTGGTGCCATTTACTCCAAGTTAGGCTGGACTTCCCCTTATCCCCGTTATAGCCAGTAATTATGTTTACTCTTCCCATGTGTTTGGTACTAATTTGAAACATGTGGGGTGATAGACCCACTCTGAAGCAATTCTAGTCCGATTATAGCGTGTTTGAGTGTAAATCTGTAGTATGTGTAAACCAGTCAATCAGTTCATCCCCCGCTCCTGTCCCGTTCCACATTTTGTTGTTTTCCTACCTCGCTAACAGTGGCAGGTATAGCCTTAATTTGGAAAAATTGCCAGTAAAATTGTTGGTGCTTCTGGTTTTGACATTAAACGACCTTATTTTGGAAAAATGTGCAACAGCGTTTTTATTTGTATAAAAAAATTTGAACACCGTCTAGGTTTAAGAAACTAAAAAAATAAGTGATATGACCGAGACAGCTATAGGATTATGTTACCATATTGGACAGCAACAAACTGATGGAAGCACATTCAGTGAAGATTTTCAAATAAACAATCAAAATAACTAAGCTTTGAATTTTCTTTCCCAAAAACAAAAATATCCACAAATTGCCCTACCAAAAGAAACCTGAAGTGCCTTCACCTAACTGATGTTTGCGAGACATATTTTGATTGGGCCTATGTTATAAGCTAGTGAATGCACTGGCTACATGCTTCCATCATTTTGAGCTCATCTAGCACTGGCACTGTCTGGTGCTCCACACAATTAATTCTCTTAGATATATGGAAGATGGGGTGAGAGAAAAACAACCCCACAATTCATGATGATTTTTAAAAGAAACCTTTCTGTGTTCCTCAGATTTCATACAATCGTATGGTATAGCCTTTATTTCTGGTTTGTAGAAAATTTACATTACAATAATTAAATGAAGATGGCAAACACTCTCATTCTATGAAAATTATTCCACCCCAAATCCACACACTCACAAAATTAAATTCCATAGTTTTTGTCAGAAAACATTAGTGTCCTGTATTTCGGCCCTAAACAGTCTGTTTCCGGCGAAAAACTGGAAATATTCGAGCATGCGCCAGGAGCGTAGGCAACCCATCGGCCATCACTACTTCACCTTGACATGACTTACTAGCGTCACGGTCAAAGGCATTTTCACACCAAATAGAATATTTGGGTGAGTCGAAGGTGGACCTTTATAGTAACGGTCTCTTTTTCTGCACCCTGGGCCACTGTTCCACACATATTTTAGCGGGCTCGACCCATCAGGCCTCGCCCTGAGCTAGTTTCGACTGGAAAGGGGAACTAGTAGTACTGCGAGCGCCGTAGGTATAGGCAACCCAACATACGTGTGCATCTCCTCCCCGTCTCTACTCCGCGCGCTGGTCACGCTGGCGAGGGGTATCTCCATCCCGCCGCGTCGTCTGCTGCCACCTGCCTGCCGATACCCCCAGTCACCAGTGACTTGCAGCTTGCGTGGGCTTTTATTTTTGTTCCAGTGATTCAACTGGATTTAACTTCCAGCGAGTGAAAGAAATGGCGGTTTTTTAGACGGCCTGGCCGCTGACTCTCAGCGGCATGCACGTGACTTATCAAGCAGATATGCATAAAATGTGTAAAATGTGCACATGTCCGGCGTTTCCATGACAACGGTATCATCGAGCGTCATGCAAGCTAGTTTGAATCTCCTCTCCTGTTTGTGAAGACATTCTGGAAATAATTGAGACCCATTACCATTTTTTAATTTTAATTATATTTAAAAATGGTGCGAGAAATTACAGAAATTTTAAAGCAGTTGGGGTGGACAGATGGCTTTCGAATTCCTGTGTCAAATGAGGAGAACAGAAAATTAGAAAATTTGGTAAGATGTTTGAATAAGCACACTATATCGCAGCATTTATGGCTTTTGTGCTAAATCTGTTCCTTTTTCGTACTTTAGCTGGAAGCCAAAGTGAAAGAGAAAGCTCAACTTGTAGCAGATATAGAGGAGATGGACGAACGTTTGGATGCATTGAATCGTCATTTGTCAAATATTTCCCATGAGCAGAAAGAAAATCATGTAAAGTTGACTTCAATAACTGTTTAAAAATGAATTCCAATTTGCACTTATTCATAACATCCTTTTCTTTTTAAAAACAAAATATTTGAACAGAAATTACTTACTGCCACACGTCAACAAGTGGACACTTCACAACATATGACGACTGTAACGCGTAATGAACATGAAGGTTTGCAAAGAGATTTGCGCAATATGAAAACCACCTTAAAGGAAAAGACCAAAAAAATCAGTTCAATGGAGGTATAACCATGCTATTTTTAATTATCTCGTGGCCAAGTGCAGATTGAATTAATTTTTGTTTTCGTCTACAGGCTGAAACTAAAGTAGTTCAGAACAAAGTAACAAAGCTCAAACAATTAATGCATTGGGATGGTGAGGAATTGCTAGCATGGGAAGACCTCCATAACAGGAAAGAAGAAGATATTTATCTTCTACAGCAGTTTATCAATGAGGATACAGCTCAGTTTAAGGCAAGTCATATATTATTTTACATAACACTAAGACACTTAAGTTAACACAGCACTGGTTGCTTCTCGTGACAGGATTTGGAGATGAAAAGAGTTGCCCTTCAAACAGAAGTTGACAAGCAAAATGCTTTAGCAGAAGAAGCTACAACAGAGGCAGCTATGTTAGAACAAGTGTTTGATAGAGTTGCCCAGTTATATCGACAAGCTCACTCTGATCACCAAGCTCTCATACATCAATGGGAACATTCTGTTCAAGCTATGCACTTGAAGGACAAGGACATAAATGACACACTTAATGTAAGAAGACAAACATTTATCTGATATCATATGTATAAACAGTAAATGTGCACCTCATTCACTGCAATAAAATACTTTCTCAGGAAATTCTTGCAGTTCGTTCTCAAGGAAGGGTCAAAATGGCAGAATTGCTTGAAGTTAAAGAGCTAGATGCTAATCTTAAAAACAATAATGCTGAAGCTCAGTCTAAAGCTGAAGAGACTCATAGGAAATTAAATATTTTGAGGAATGAAGATCAAACTGTACAGAAGGATGTTCATGAGCTTGAGAATGAGGTAGGAACATAATTCTAATTTTGTCTTGGGTGTTAAAATAGTTTCATGAAAACATTCTTTGAACTTTTGGCAACAGCTTAATGTATTGAAGCGCACATTGTCTGGACTCGAAATACAATTAAGTCAACAAAGAAGCCATAATACACAGACAAAGCGAGAGGTGAATGAACGCAAGGGCAAGATTGAAGCCCTGGAATTACATTTCGACAATCTTATTAAAAAGCAAGAAGAAGTTAGCAAAAATTTGTGGGATGCTGGGGAAAGATACAAGCACATGGAGAAACTAGTGCAGGTATGGAGTGAAAAATCATGATGATGGACTGCTCAATTAATTTAAATAATATTTAATTAAAATCATTACCCATTTGATTTAGGATGAAGAACATTTACAAGAATGTTTTCTTAGAGATATCAACAAGCTTCAAAGTATTTACTTTCGCACTACTCAAGAGCTCCAATCTATTCGTGAGAAGGAGCGTTTGCAATCTGCTGAGCTCCAAACACTTCAAAAGAATAAGAAAGGCATTATGGCTCATATAGAAACAGTGGAAAAAGAGATTATTAAGATAAAAAATGCTACTTATGAAATGGTAAGTTTTCCAATTGTTGAATCTCAGTACAGCATTCATTCATCGAGATAATTGACCTTCCCATGCCTATATTCATTTACCCTTTTATAGGAGTTTTCAGAGCAGAAAATGAGATCTCGAATATCACATGCTCTGGGAGAAACAAGATCTGCAGAGCAGGATGAAATGCTGAGAAAAATAGAACAATTGGAGTGTGTCTTACGAGAGAAGCAATCTGTCATGTCTTTGCTTACATCACAAGTGAACAGGCTAGAGGTTTGTAGTGTACTAATAGTTACCAATATTAAATCCAGTCTTCATAAATTCATTTTTTTTTCTCTTTCTTTACAGAATGATTGTCGTCAAATGTCAAATGTGATAGGAGCCACTGCTAGAGAAGTGGAGCAGTTACAATGGAAAAGACAAGATGGGCTCTTACTGGTGGAAGGGGGCAAAAAGCAGCTGAAGGCAGCTAAAGCAGCCCACCACGAAACCCTGGTAGAGCATGCTTTGCTTCGTGTTAAGGTCAACCAGGTGGAACGAGCACTCCATCGAGAAGGGACTTACGTACACTCATTGTCAAAACAAAGACTGGAATGGGAAAATGTAAGTATTTTTAGAATATTAGTTTAAGAGTGTCCCCTTTCACTTTCAACTCTCAAACATTGTTTCTCTTGTTGAAAATTGTGGTCTGTATTGGCTTTTCTTCACAATCCAGGCAATGAAAGAGCGTAAGCTTGAAATAGACTTACATAAAGAAATGATGGCATCAAAACGAAAAACGTTAAACGAAGAAAAGTCACAACTCCAAACAGCTCTTAATCAGTTGAACACGAGAAGAAGCCAACTTCAAAATCGCCATGATATAATTACCAGTGTTATTGGAAAAGATGAGTATGGGGATTTCATATCTCCTGCAATGCTAAAACTCAAGGTGAGAGGTAAGAGACATTTACTGCACATTACTTGTACCTTTGCACAATGTAAAATTTTCACTAAAATTTTTATAACTCTATTTGTAAGGGTTTTCTTTTTTAAAACAGAAATTTTAATGAAGTAAAAGCAGCTTTTATGTATATTCTTTCCAGATTGCTCAAGAAAAAATAATGCTTCAAGATGAAGGTGACATCCTAGATGCCAAAATTAAAAAGGCGGAAAAGGAAATAGAAGCTATGGAAAATACTTTAAAAGTTGTGAATACATCCAATGACACCTATCGTAAAAACCTGACTATGATCGATAAAGAGGGTAAGATTCTTGTGAAAAAATATTTTTCTTGACTTGTTTGTATTTTACAGCAAGTGTTTTTTTCTGTTGGCAGGGCCCGAGGGTGAGGAATTAAGAACATTGGAACAAGAGTATTATCAAGCAATGGTGAGCCTCAGAGCTCAAAGAGAACAGAGAGCACAGATGGAGTCAGAAATACAGGTGTGCTTCAAATGACAACGAGGACACAAACACAAGCATTTACGTTTGTTGTTTTTTTTAATTAATAAGAAGAAACCTTACTGTTGTAAATTTCAATTGTCTATTGTCTTAGTGAGTCTTTTTAATATTATTTCAGGAAATATTACGGAAGCTTTCGTCTACACAAGAAAAAGTAGAGACTAATAATGCAACTGCCAGAGAATTGGAGAATGATGCTTCTGTTCTTGTGAAAGATCTCCAGGATCAAGAAATAAAACTGCACCGGGCAGACGGTCAATTAAAGAGACTTGTGCGTGAGTTGCGCAGTAAAAGTGACTCAACTATGTTTGGCATGGAGGAGGTAAGAAAAGGCTTTAAGAAGAAAAATATTATGATTAATTCTTTCAACATCGACCAAAATTATAATTTCCCTTGAGTGTTTCATTCATTATAGAAAGATATTGCTCTGAGGGAGCTGATAGACAGAAATCAAGCTGCTCTGGAACTGCTTGCTGAGATGTCAATCAGGCATATGGAGGCAGCTCCTATTATCAGCCAGCACCTTAGGGTAACTATTCAGAGAGCAAATTCATTTAAAAAATGAAACTGCTTGTGGATCCTTGGTAAAGGTTTATTTTCTGGTATTCCAGGAGAAAGGATTGAGTTTGCCTCAGCCTGGGCAACATCTGAAAGGCGTTGCTTCCATGTCTACCTTGAGTGGTGCCAGCAGTGCCCGCAGTGGTCGGAGTAGTAGCACTTCTGTTAGCAGTTGCACTTACGCTCGACGACGAATATTTGATCCTCACAACCAGCCACTTGGTTCATATCATGGAACTCTTCAGACTCCAGCTCAGCTAGACTTCCCTCTTAAAGAAGATACATGCTGTGCCCCTCACTCTTCATTTACTCTGGGTAGCATGTCTGAAACACGTTCTCAAAGGTAAATAAATATTTATCAATTTTAGTCATGAATACAAACTACAGCAAACCAGTTAAATCAAATACTTGTATTGATTGTCTTTGAATAAATTTGCAGTGATGCTGGAGGCTCTGTGGCAGGACCCATACCTTGTTTTGAAGGAACAAGAACGTTTCGCTCAAGAGAGGTCTCTGCTGATGATGGAAGTCAGAACATGGGGAGTCTGGTTGAAGTCCATCCTGCATTTTCAGGTCCTGCCTTGACTGCTTCTACAGAGGCTTCCCAAACTTCCATCAAAGTAAAAACTGGTTCACCAGTTGGTTCACAAGTGTCTGGATCCCGCCAGGCCAGACTTTCTCAAGAATCAAGCAAGAAAGACAAGCCAAAGTCACCTGAGAATGATTTGCAGAGCACCATCATTGTTGGGTCTTTACAGCTGAGTGCTAGTGGTAAGTTAATAAGTATTCGATTAAATTAAAATCTCCTCAAGATGGCAATATATTAATTCTTCCTGTTTTTTTTACCAAATATAAAGGCAAACCTAAATCTCAAGATGGACAGAGCCTTGCAGGCAGTCGAAGTAGCAGTCGAGCCAGCACTCAGAGTGGGGGAAAAACTAGCAGAGGAAGCCATTCTAGTGGTGTGAGCAAAACACATAAGAGCAGCTCAGGAAGTCAACAAGAATCCACTGGCAAAGAACAGAAGCATGAAAGAGGTAGTACTTCAGGTTCGAGCCGTAAATAAGAAAAATGTGACTGTTTGATTGATTGTGATTGATCGTTTAAAACCGTTGTGTAACATAGTAAGAAGGGGCTGTGGGTTAGGGCCGAGGCAACAACCAAAAAACAATATGCACTTCTTATTATTGCTTTATTTTGTGGTTTTTCTGAAAGTATGTCAAGAAATCACAACTTCATAGTGATCATACTCGCAGGCAATGAAAACACAAGCGTGCACGCACATGTATCAGCAGCCAATCCATGGTAATCATTAATAATCTAGTCATGGTAGAACATGTGGTAATGCTGAAGAAGCTGCTAACAGCTTGATGCTAATTAGAATGCTCACACACTTAACACAATGCAACTTCTATGCTGAACCCTAGATCAGGCATTGTGATGACAGTCACTCACAAAACATCATCTAGCTGTTTGGATGGGGTCAATGTGATTTTCATTTGCATGATGCATCATGCGGTGGTGTACGTTTAAATCTTAAGAGCACAGGAGCAAGCTCTTCATTAACTACAGAACCAGCACAAGATACTGTTGCAAGGACCAGCTAAAGATGAGATCAAAGGTCCAAATATGAGATAAAGCAGAGAAAATTACTCAGGTGTCCATTTGGCTAAAGGCAAACAAAACATCGGATAATAAATCTTCTCAAATTTTATTTATATGACAATACCAATAAGGTAACAAACTAAGTTAAGTATATGCACATAGCAAAAATCTCTAAACTTGCCAAAAAACAAAAGATAAATGTGCTGGGGTAGTTGTGTGAAACGTTAACAAATAACATAAAGACTGTGAAACAAATCTACATTTATGATAAACCAATATCCCCCAAGACTAAGACTAAATATCAAATTAAATAATGAGTGTGTCAAACAGCTAACACAAATTTTTACATGATCTATCAAAAATTAGTTAGTATGGAATTTAAGCTAAATTATGATGCTTTTTTAACAATAAAATTGCACGTCAATGTAACAACTGCACTTTGAGATGATTTACAGCACACACTTGCATGCACATTCTATGTGCAAAACACTCACTGGTCTTCTGGAATTTCTGAAAACAAATAAAAATAAACCTAGACTTATTACTATCATCTATATTGTACTTATTTGGTTATAATTAGTGAATTCTCACTGGTAGATCAGTGTGATGGTGAATTACAGTAACATGATTTTATTCCCTCTTACCCAATGCCAGAAGGAACATTTGATATTGAACTTTGACTAAGAAGCCGTATTCCACTTAATTTAATTTCGTTTTACTAAAAGTATGTGAAGTCTTAGGAGGACAGCATAGTTTCATATGATCGCTTCAGTTTTGAGCTGAGTATCAGCTTTGTCAACTGGTCATTAAAATGATTTAAAAGGAAACAAACCCAACATGCATAGGTAAAAAGGGTTTCTTATTACAAAAATCGAAGTTGTACCTCGAATGACAGATTACCGGTAAGTGGAATTAAGTGTATCCCAAAGTTGCATAACATCACAAACATGCATTGATTCCTTTTGATATCACAGATGCCATTGAAATCAGAACCTTCAGTGATACAGTAATTTCCATTTAAGTTTGGATAGAAGACCTGGTTTTTACGCTTTGACATAAAACGAATACAAGAGCAGTTGGATACATAAGGAACGGGCTATTAACAATCTTAATGGCCCGAGTACCGCAAACCCTAGAGGATAGTTATGCAGGCACCAAATTTTAAAGCTTAATTGGCTTACTTAATGATACTATGCACAATTTTTATAAAGAACACAACACACTCAAAACAATTTTAAAAATCAATAAGATGGTACAAGAATCACGAGGAAATTGAAAGATTGATGTCTACAGTGGAAATTGCAACATCACATGACACACATGTAAATCTATATTATATATATAAATATCTACAAAGCACAACAAAGTTGTCCACATTGATCTAGAGGATATTATGTACAATAAACTTAAAACTCTTCACTATAGCCATTCTTGGCAATTACAATGTGAATACCATCATGGGACACTTTAGGCTGAACTCCAGACATTCGAAATACAAGTCACAAGTGGCATGGACAGGGGAAGTGGGGCTAGAGCAATCCAGAGTCCTCCACACGGACAGTGCCATAATTGATTGCCAGATATTGAAGAGCAACTTAGTTGGGCAGTATGGAGAAGAAACAGCAACATGTTTGTTTCACATTTAGGTAGATTGTTCATTGACAATGACACCACTGGACTCCATGTATATAGCTTTTCAGCTTACAACATATACTCTGTACAAATTCAGGAATGAATATAGTCAATTCTATGCAAATAGGTGGCAATCTGGAGTTCAGCACAATCAATGAAAAAAGAGGGGAGAAGAAATCACAATGTTGCATGTGCTGAAAACCAAAATGACAACTACTGCACTACTAATATAAATGGAATTTAATAACATCTTTGCCATAAAATAAGAAAAAGTCTCAACATCAATATGCTGCTTTATATCTTATTCAGTCACATAGCACCTACTCATCAGATAAATCACTGCACCTAATTATAAAGATGAGCACAAAATAAATCTAACAACTTGACACAAGGCACCAGTAATAGCACTGCTTTACAGCTTGATATTCAAGGCACATGGTGGACCAAAGAACAGGGAGTATTTCTTAGAAAGACACATCAAAATTGACATCACTTCCAAGAAAAGTATTTTCAACAGGCATGTCACATAGATCTGAATTCTTTTAGTCAACAACTTATTGTCAAAAGTCACTGGTTGCAATTTTTCACAGGTACATGGATAAACTTTAGCAAAAGTAACACTGATATTAAAATATCTCTTTGTAATTGGCAATAACACTGGATCAAAGTTACAATCAACTTCAAACCATAGAAGAACAATGGTCCAAGTATCATGAATAATAAGAAAGAATAATTAAATTTCATTATATCTAATAAATTTCTTTACAAAGAGCATTATTGCAAGTAACATACATTAAACCTAAGTCAATTGTCCACCTAGAGGATTTCCAGACAGAATTCATCATTATCACAATGCAGGGTAAACATAGTGCTAGTAGAAAGTACGGATTAAATTGCACCTATATGTTAAGTCTCTTAAAGAGTTAACATATTCTACCTTGAAAGATGCAACACTCACATTAAAAGCTACTTGAAAGCATATCATTGTTCAGCTATCAAAGTAAGCAAATAGTTACTTTCTCATTGGAAATTGGCACTGCCCTCAGGCATGTAAAAATTGACAGGGAATACACAATCTTTGGGCATGAAGCAATCATGAACTGTCTTCATATGGTTCTTCATTTTATCTGGACGGGAGAACTCCTTAGCACACACTGGACAAGGGAATACTTTCCGCTGGTGACCCTCATGGTAAAGGAATGCATGACGCTGGAAACTATACTTATTCTTGAATGTTTTTATCACATCTACCTTGGCACATTCCATGCATTTGTAGACACCTTCTGTGACAGAGGCATATCTAAACAAATTTAATCCTCTTACACTCATTTCTGTCAATGCTTCAGCAGGGTCTTGACTGGAAGAAGCAGCTCTTCGCCTAGCTCTGCGACGAGAGGGCTGTCGTCCTGATGAAGGAGTGGTAGTAACATCACTTTGAACGCCGTCAGATCCATCCACGCTTGAATTTGCATTCGGTGTGGCATTAGACTGGTCCTTACCACCATCCTTTGTATTATTGTTATTGTTGGGATGATCCACACTTCTGCTTAGAGCTTCTGTCTTTGGGATGAGTAATGGAACTGCAACAAAGAAAAGAGCAAAGGGATCAAATAACAGAATTTCCCTGTGCAAAACAGAACTGTTCACTTGAGTACCATCAGAGAAAGCTCGGAGTCTGGAATTTCACAACAAAGATTAAACATGCAACGTAAAATCAGAGGGTTCAGGACCATCAAACATTTAAGTGAAATAAAAACACTGTTTTCTTTAAATAATGACAAAATTTTATTGTCAATTCATCAACAAGAAAATATGAGAACAACTTTTAGACTATGAGAGAGAAAAAAACGACATCAATGAACTTAAAGAAACCAATAGACCACTCTACTTATAACAAAAGAAAGAACAGAAAAACAAGGAAATAATTAATATTTCACACCAATTCTATCTCTATTTATAATGAAGAAAAGGGACTAGTGTCTTATAGAAATATGATCAACAGAAACAAAATTGCACATCTTCAATATCTGGAACTCATCAGCCAAGAAAACAAACAAAAAATCCTACAATCTTAAATAGCCATCCAAACCCATCGTTGAGTTCTTCAGGGACTAATCACATTTCTACATACAGATTTGTTGCAAGATTTATAAATGCAAGACTTTGTTTCCAAGCTAGTTCAGCCATCCTACTTGAATACTATAACACTCTAAAACCATTAAACAAACTTCCTGTTCTAATTCAAGACATATATGGTTTTAGGTTCAGTCTTCATGCATGAGCAAATAAAAGATCAGATGATCCAGTATGATTAGAAAAATCTTAAATTCCTAAGATTGCTTATACCAAGAGGCAGTTTCTCGCACTTAAGGAGTTATCAAAAATCAGTTCAGTTGTGTCTTGGAAAGTAATTCACAGCGCAATGATAAAATGGCACATAAGTTTGCTAAAAAAAAAAAAAAATCCTGTATGCACAACACAAAAAAAAACATAGAAAATGTGTGACAAATAACTGATAGCTGACTTGAGACTCACATAGACTACATCCCACACAAGAGATCTCGACAGTCACATTTTCTACTAATGTGTTTACAAAAAAATAGGGAGAAATCTGTTGCATCAAAACCTTTCAATAGCCTACTTATGACAATGTGGAATGAAAAACAGTTTCAAAAACGCAAATTACCCTAACAAGTTCAAAGACATTTTCCTACAAGAAATACATCACTATTAAAATATATATAGATATATATTTCATAAAATATATATCTTTTCAACTAAAGGCTTACAGAGAGCGAATTTCAGGACACAACCATAAAAAATCCTTTCTAGATTTCTCTACTAATCTAAAGAAAGTCATGCTTACCATTTCCTTTCAAAGGCAAATTTGTTGCCAGCAATCAAATTCACATCATGGCAACACATTCTTGATGAACCAATGAAATGGATCAAATGGATACACACAAGAGCATTTACACATAAATTAATACTACCTAAAACAACTTTGTAATATAAAATCTCAAGAAAGGGGAGGAAGAGACTTGCAAAAGAACACAAGTTCTGGTAAAAATAATATCAAATTGGAGCTGCACTAGATTAGAATGAAACAGCACAGCCTAAGACATTTACAGCCGTCAGAAATATTAGTCTACCTGTCTCAACTTCACCTTTGTAACCCTTAGAACAAAGTCCAGGATCTTCAAATTCCAAAGACAACAACAAATGCAAATAACACTTAGTACGTAGTAACAGCAATTTCACTAATTGAGTAAGGGAGCGCTCAATCGTGTACGCTTTGTTTCACTTTAAAACAAAACTACAGCTTTGACAAAGGCAAAACAAATAAATTAAAATATTAATTTAGTCAAATCATATACCAAATTAATACAGGAGTGCAACAACAATGACACATGAGCAAAGTTCTGCATAATTTGTGTTAGTTCAGCAATTGATCTAGAGCCAAATCTGTCTTTCTAAGTCACACAGCAAAGGCCTGATCAGCAAGGACGGACGGCACAAATCTGGAATGTCTCAATGAGCTCCGAGAAACAAAAACTATAAAAGAGCAAGCTTGTCATGTAACCCATTGTACTGAGAACTAAAATTGAGATTTTCTACCCCCACAAATAAAAAAGCTTTGTCCACAAAGCATTACTGCTGCTGTTGGTCCTGAAGCTGGTCCTGAAGCTGGTCCTGCTGCTGCTGTTGAGAGGCAGGTTTATCAAGTTTTAATAATCGGTGAACCTGTTTGGTATGAGTTACCATATTGTCTTTCCTAGTGAACAACTTGCCGCAGATAGGGCATGGAACTTCTTGTTTTACTCCTTTATGGGTAGTAATAAAATGACGACAAAAATTGCTGATATGAGTATAAGTCCTACTACAAACACAACAACGAAAAACATTGCCCTCCTCCTTCACACAGTACTGACGAACAGAGCGTCCAGCATCAAGTCCTTTGACATCTATCACTTTCTGTTCCTGATCTGGAGGATCATATCCTGCATTATGCTGTTCCATAATGGACTTGTAAGCTTCAAAATCAGGTGGAGGGATGTCTGATTTATATGGATTGATCGGGTAAAAGTTAAAATCAGAGTCACGATTACTAATACTAATAGTAAGTTGCTCAGGAAGCTTGCGAGGCCGAGAGGGTTTACGTTTGTCAACCATCTCTCTCTTGACTAAGTTTTTAGGCTCCAAATGCTCTAAGTTTTCAACTTTTAACTGTAATGGTTCAGGCATGGAGCTGTTCTGAGAAAAATTGATGGGATCCTCTTCATTCTCTTCGACTTCTTCGATCCCTCCATCATGTTCAGAATTACCAACATCTCCTAGAAGAGCTGTTTGTTGTAAAAATGCTGGGGCGAACAGAAGGCTTCTGCCAAATGAAAATTCACCAAATCCTGGAAATAAAACAAAAGATGTAAAGCATGGGCAACATAAAAAACCTGAGTAACATTAAATGTGTTAAATGGATTATACTACTAGAACTGTAAGAGCTACCAGTCTGACTCATGAAACCACAAATTACATCTATATTGCATTCCAGACAATAGATTTGAGTTGAAAATAAAATAGGCGAATTGACAAGGAGTATGCTACTGAAGATATGTTTTAATGCAAGATTCACATTAATCCCACAAGAAAATTGTTAGAAAAAAAGACAAGAATACTATCAATCAAAAATCATACAAAGATACTTTGGACTGAAATGCAACATAAACAAGCTGATTAGCCCTAATGGAGGAAGTACGAGGGTGTGGATGCATCTAATGCTTGACTAAGTGCATTCCCAGCTAAGAGAGGGCCTCAACCTTAAACTTAAATTATCAAAGCACTAAAAATGCAATTTTACTCATTTAAATGGAATGAGACATGCGTGACTAATTAGAATTGAGAGTAAGAAGACTGGATTTTGTTTCATTCTCCATTTTTGGGAAGGAATATTTGGAATATTTTAGAAAGATTTATAATGAATAGTAAGAACTGCTGTTGAAGTAGTGAGTAAGCAAGAGAGAAAAAGAAAGTGTCTGAGACCACAGAATACAACAGGGCTCAGCACTGAAAGGGACTTCAAAGCAAGATCATACTGTAAATGAAAATAAAATTTTTCGGGATAACATAAAAACAAAACCTGTTTGGGCATTGAAGAAGGAAAGGAGCTCAACCTGAAAGTATCAGGCCACCGTAAGGTAATAAACCCAAACTGTACCCATGCAGCACGCTTACATGAAGACAACAAGAAGTTTGCAAGACAGACGTAGATGAGCAAAAAAGACTAATTGTGAGGGCTGTGGAGAAGTGCCAAATCAAATTAGAAAATTTACAAAATGATTTCCACCTCTTTCATTGATAAGTAACAAAAATTAGAAGGAAAAGAAAAAAGACCTTTCCACATAACCAAAATGCTTATACAAGTTCATCTACAACTTTTTACAATGTGATGTGATGCATGGGTAATGACAGCCAAAACATGCTTCCCAACAAAATCCATGATTCCCTGCACCAGATTATCCACATCGGAACAAAGTTTCACTGTTTATAAACAAATCCAAGAGAGAAATTAAAAATACTCACCTCAAGAAGTTTCTGGTCTTCAAAAGCACCATATCTTCGACAAGTTAATTTCTCCTTCTAAGCTGATGGCTAAAGTAGGCACTATGAAATCAAGCGTGGCATTTCTCTCTCCTAAAAAAGGTATCCACTAAAGCCCCAACATTACATGAAGAGAGTACAACAGTGAAACTTCATTGCACTCAAAAGCTAGTGTTATTTCTTTAATTAAGTAGTGAAAAAAGCGCCACTTTAACTTCAGCTTTCCAGGGGATGAGAGTCTATATCAACCATCTAAATAAATTGCAAGTTACTGCTCAAGCAAGAATAAGAGTGATAACAGAGGTAGATCAGCAAAATCCCAGGCTTCAGCCACATATCAAGACAGATATGCAACTACTACTCAAAAGTAACATTTACTTCAAATAAATTACAAAATAAAATACCCAGCCATGCCCAATGCCTAAGCCCTTTTCACTCACACCATCAATTAAGTTGGAACCCGTATATATTTCTAAATTAACAGCAACAAAGAATATTTTTAAAATAGGGACTTCTCTAATATGTATGTTGTCTAGTTGCCCAACAACAAACCAATAACATGGCTACTTGCGACTGAGGTATGGTGCAGCCAAATTCTGTAAAATGAGGTCTTTACAACCCAAGACCCAAACGCCCAAAACACAGAAAAAAAGGCAAGAACACACAAGATGTACAGGGCAACTCATTTGAGTTTTGATTTATACAATAAGTAGGTATGGAGAGACACCAGCTGGTAAGAGATGAGAGTATACTGAAAAAAACTAAAAAACAAACACAAAAAAACCAGTTGTCATGCGTTGAAAATTTGATAAAGTTGAAAAAAAAAAACAGTAACAATAACCCTTGTTGCATCAGAAACAACCCAAAACACAAAACACACAATCACGAAACACATATTTTATCCAATTATTCATCATGCAGAAACAGTAGATTCCAACAAGAACATGCACACAACTATTTTTTCTAAATGAAGTTAAGAATAATTTACCCTGAATGATGTTTAGAAAAAGCTGAAAAAAATATGTTCTGATCAGATGTATCAGAAAAATATTTTCTTGACTAGATTTTCTGTTTACAACCCAATGCGGGATAACATATGATACATGTAGTTTAAGAACTCAAAAATATGAGGGAATACAAATTGGGCTGGGACCAAGGTATCGAAACAATAATACCCAGGTTGAATACCAACAACTCATGCATACACCCCCCAGAACAAATACAGTTGTATGATTGTAAGCACCCATAGGGAGTTGAAAGGCCTAATTGACCCGAAACATGCTGGACACCCCACTGTTCAAACCCAGGATGAACACCCTGACATTCACTATGAGTTATGTACAAATACACCCAGGAACAGGCAAGGATTTGAAACACCCAGAATTACATGCCCCAACAAAACATCACAATTCCAAACCCAAGTACTCGTCACACACAAATTTGAAATGTGTGCAAAACATTCAAATTTGAGCAAACAATCTTTGGTTGGATAAAGTAACATTTTGAATGCACTTTTTGAAAACCCAATAACAGGTATTGTTTCAATATGTTGCAATCCCAAAGAACAAATATTTTAATGTGCAATACTTTATCTGAACTGACACCTATTTCAAACCAAAACTGAAGATATCCCAAAACATTCTTAACCATTCTTTGAGTGCCTGCTCTTCAAACTCAATAAAAATGCCCAAGATGTACGACTATCAGGGAAGTAATAACTGAGACTAACTCGCATAGGGAATGAGGGCACCAAGCTTTGGCTACTGGTGGCCTCTTACAAAGACAATACAGTTTAATTTATCTTGAGGATGTAACACAAACTTACCAGGTGGAAGGTTCTCAGAGTTTGTCAATCCGATGCCATTTCCATTATTTTGAGGACTTGCTGCATTACTGCTACTGCCAGTACTGCCCGATCCTGTGCCCGCACTATTTGCTCCACTATTTCCATTGCTGCCTATTCTGAACTGTGCCTGGCCTGATTCTGGAACAAAAGCACAGTACGACTTAGCTTGAGCGATCCAAATAAACATTATGGAAATGTTTTCCAGGTTCAATAAAATAAATTCAAAAAAGTAAAATACACAAACTAAATACACACAAAACTACTGGGGTTATCACAATACTACAAAATTTTAGTCAGATTGAGAAGTGAAGACTACTGAGAACTAACTTGACTTGCAATTTAATGAGAGCATTAGGGCAGAAGGCAAGCAGGCAGAGCTGGCAGAATGTTTTGATGTCATCAATAATGGACAGAGATAGAGGTAGTTAATAGAAGACTTTGGTGACATCAAATGCAGCAAGTCAGCAAATAAGATAGGCAATGCAATTCCTGTTTCACCAACTTTCTGATGTAAAAAAGCAGAATCTTTCTCCGAGCTTTCAGTAAGCACTATTGCAGCTCCGAACCTCACAGCAAAAAAGACAGAAATCAATCTTGAACTGTACCTTGTGATGATGTACCAGGTGTGGGTTCTGCATCCTCCTTCCCTCTCCGGCTGGGAGTTCGAACAGTGGCCGTTTTTTGCAGGGTTTCTTTATGAGGTGACTGGCTTGAGCTGTCCTCCAAACCAGAGGAATCATCCCTTTCTGAGGTCTTGTTGAGTTTGCCTAAGCTGTTGTGGCGTCCATAGTCCATTCGCATTTCCATCATGTCCTGAGGGGGAGGTGAGCTGTGATCAGATGAGCCAGCGTTGCGATTCTCATATTCAATATCCATATCGCCATCCATTTCATGCGAGCTTCCATCATGTCCATGGGGGTCATCACTGCTTCCAGATAGTTTTCGGGGGCGACCTCTCTTGCGCTTAGGGGCTGTTAGGGCGGAGCCAAGCAGCGGATTTGATGCAACTAGTGGAGGCATCGGCCTCTTCTGAGGCCCTGGTATCCGTTGAATATGAGGAATGGGAGCAGCAGCTGGGGTACTATGGGCACAAGGAATGGCTGACAGAAGGTTGTTGGTGATTGAAGGAATATCACATTTTTCTTCATTCACTTCAGTAAGACCCTTTATCCTCAATGACTCTGCCACTTTGAGGAAAGCTGTTAGTCTATCTTGGTCCACACTCACTTCACCACGGTACATAAAGTCTAGCAAACACCGCATGTCATTATAAGGCACATCTTTGAGGATCACTATGGGATGCTTGTCAGGATGTCCGATGAACAGTGCTTGAAATAGTGGGCTGCATGCGGAGAGCACCATTTTGTGCGCACGCAGCAACTGTCCATCAACTGCCAAAGTCACATCAACAAAGGACTCGTCATGCAGCAGCTGATCGAACACAGAGAGCATGTTCGACTGGTGGTTATTCCACCGCAAACAAAATCGTTGAGACATGTTTGAAGATTTTAAACACAGCTTGTCGGATGAAATGATTTCTCTTGAGATGCTGAATCAGTGTCCACGCCGGATCAAGGGCATTCTCCAAACTGCAACCAAAACAGAAAACACAAGGATTAGACATGAGTCTTACAAAGGATGCGGAGGAGCAGGAAAATTAAGGAGCCATGTCCTCCGCTGGAAGGCAATCAGGAAAATGCTTCGCAGTCCCACTACACTTCCTATCAGCTATCCCAAACAAAGCCCCACTTGATGTTCTCACGCCTACTTCTGACACATGCCTTGACAAGGAGCAAATCCGAAAACACCGGCAAGGACACGGCCTACGAACTGAACTGCCCTCCCGAAATTTCAATTGTAAACAAGCCGCATGGCAGGGCCGGGCAGGGCGCGTCGCGTGGGGCAAGTCAAACAGGGCACCAGGCCCAGGCACCACACTGCCACCGCGAGGGGAATGCACGAGAATCCTCCGCCCTCTACGCCGACAGCGACAGCCAAGACAGCCAACCGAGGGTGGAGGGCGGTCGTCGTCGAGTCGACCTGGCCGACGGCGACGGCGACGCAGGCCGCGGCCGCAGCGCAGGGCACTGCAGGGGACCGCTGCTAACTCGTTTCCTGTCACTAGAATCCCAATCAAGGTCTAACCTAGAAGGGGCAGGCTGCGAGCAGGGGCAGAGGCGGGGCGGGGCGAACGAGCCTTGAGCAGGCAGGACTCGCCGACACTCCGACACGCTGGCAGCACAACCAACGCACCACTGCCAACCAAGCGGGCGGAGGGGCGCGGCGGGGAGGGGAGGGGAGGGGAGGCGCCCCACCCCCAAGACGATCCTACAGGTGTCCCTGGCCGCGGCCGCCACGCCCGAGTACTCACTGCAGACCAAGCCGGTGGCCGCGACCCGCGGGGAAGTCTCAGACGACGACGGCCGGACAAGCGTAGCAGCGGAGCAGGCCAAGGCACTGCAGGCCGACGGGGCCCAAATTTTTCACCAGTCCTCGCCGTGTGCGCCGCACTGAACTTCAACCCACAGCCCTTCCCCTTCCGCCATCTTGGAGTGAGTGGCGACGGCGAGGCTCCCCCTCCCCCTCCCCGACGTGAACGTGCAGCGCAGCGCCGCAGCGCGCCGAGCCTGGCCGCGAAGCAGCGAAGCAGACGCGGGGCGGAGGGGGCGCGGGGGCGCGGGGCCGAGGGGCACGGGGGCATCAACAAGGGACGGGGGAGGAGAGGGTAGTGAGCGGCGGCAGTGCGGCAGGGGCGGGTAGGGAGGGGAACGGCGTCACGTGACTGGTCCTGCCGATTGGGGCGCGGCCATGGCGCAGCGCGGCAAAGGCGAAGCCAAGCCAAGCCGGCCCCGGCATCATGCTTCAAGATTCAAACTTCACGCCGCGCCCCGCCGCCTTCACCACGCCGCGGATGCGACGCGACGCGAGACCCAGCCGACTGCCGTCGTGGATCCCGCGGTCCGCTGTCTCTCTCGCACTCATGGGGCACTCCACGTGTGTGCGACAGAGACAGCGACGAATCGCGACGACGGCGACGGCGCGCCACCCACATGGCCGATGGCCGGGCCGCGCCAAGTGGCGCTCGGACTTGGTGGAGGCGCCGCCGCCGCGAACCTCCTCCCTCTCTCTCTCTCTCTCCGCGTCGGCAGGGACGTGACGCTCCCGCCGCGCCCGCACGACGCCACGCCGACGTCGTCCTCGGCGGGGCCTGGCTGGGCCTGGCGGGGCCGCTCTGCAGTCTGCAGTGCCCTCCCGAACGTCAACACAGCCAAGTCGACGACCGCGCCGACGCTGCGGTGGAGTACAGTGGGGGTATCGGCTGGCTGGCGCCGAGCCAGAGCACCCAACCCCGCCAACCCTTCTCTGAGGCCGCCGACGTCGGCGCCCTCTCGGCAAGGACCTCGCCGCCGGTCGCCGTACCTGGGCGACGCAACGCGTTGGAGCGGTTCGAACAACCCTCGGCGCCCCGCGGTGTCCTCGGTGTCCTCGGTGACGGGCTGCTTCGCGGTGCTTCGCGGTGCTCCCCGTGCGGTGGTGCGGCGAGGCGCTGTTGTCAAGCGGGGCGGCCGTCCCTTCCCTTTGGCCCTGACGTCAGCGAGTGAAGACCCGGCCGCCGACCGCCTCCGCCTTCAGGCTGTGGCTCCACCCTCGCAGAGCCTCCCCACCACCGCCACGCCCGCGACGCCGCAGCCATGAGCCGCGGCCCCCACCCTCCCCTCGGCCCACCCCGCCCCGCCCCGCCCCGCCCCGCCGCGGCGTGCCACGGGGGAGGATCGCGCCGCCGCCGCCGCCGCCACGCACGCCGACTACACTCCAACTCCACCCCGGCGTTGAGAAACGCTGGGGAAATCGGGACGGCGATTAGGAAACGAGCGAGGCCTGAGGCTGCTGCAGGGCTGCTGCGAGGCGAGGGCCTGGCCGGCCTGGCCCCGGGCCCCCCGAGCAAACCACCCCCAAGCCGCCCCTTGTCGCTTGACGGCATGTCAACCGGGCCTGGCAGGCCTGCCTTTGCACACTGATTCCGAGACCGTCGCTCCGTCTCTCTCGCACCCACAAGGGACGCCCCACGAGTGCGAAAGAGACAGCGACGAAAACGACTCTCGGCCTCAAGCCTGACGCGGGGCGGGGGTGGTTCGCATGTGTCGGCAGAGGGGTTCTGTGAGGGAGCCCCACCCCCAACCCGGCCTGTCGGCCTCCTTGAAGCTTGGGACCGAGAGGCCGAGGCCGGAGGCAGCGAGCGAGGACACTTGGTGGACCGCCTGCATGTCTGCATCCGGAAGCAGATGACCCATCTCCACGCATGGAGGGGCAGCGGCAGCCCAAGCGCCGCGCGGCCTTGGTCGAGTTCCGGACCTCCGCGCGGCGCGGCACGGCGCGGCGTTGCGCGGCGCGGAGAGGATTCGACAGCGCGCACACGCCACGGCCGCCGCGGTGCAACAACAGCCTGTCTCTCTCGCACCCCTGCGGCACAAGCCACGAGTGCGAGAGAGACAGGCGCTTTCGGGTCCGCCAGCAGGTGGCCGTCAGAGCGCTGCTGCAGCGCCGCGGCGCCCGCGGGACGCCAAGTCCGCCGCCGAGCTGCTCGCCGAGGTGCATAATGTGTGAGTCACAGGCTCTGTCTCTCTCGCACTCACGGGGCGTCCCGTGCGGGTGGGAGAGAGACAGCGACAGAGTGCTGTTCGGGATGGCGACAGGTACACGGCCGCGGTGAAGACGACGCCGCAAGAGCAGCACGACGGGCTCACTCATGGGCACCATGGGCACGGCCAGCGCGTGCTGCAGAGCCATTCCGCCGCCGGCACTCTGTCTCTCTCGCACCCCTACGGAGCACCCCGTGAGTGCGAGAGAGACAGCGAGCAGGGCGACTTGGCGTTCGACACTTCCTCCCTATCACCGCCACCAGCAAGGCGCGGCCCGGGCCTGCAGGCTCTCGCTCTCACTCTCTCGCACTCGTGGGGCGCCCGGCAAGGGTGCGAGAGAGACAGAGCGACGACGCAGCGTTCGGCATCAGCCTGCAGGCACGGCCGCGGCCGCAGCCGGGCGGTGCTGTAAGGATGTGGACTCGTTATCAGCTGGGTCCGAGAGGTCGCCGAGGCGGCGGCACGGGGCGGCACGGGGCGGCACGGCGAGGCGAAGCGAGGCACGCCTAGACACGTCGTGGACGGGCTGTTCGGGCCGTCCGGGCGCGGGGGCAGGCCTCTGGGCCTTGGAGGCAGGCAGAGGCAGAGGGGTGGCCGACAGTCGACCCTCGATCTTCCCCTCGGGTTCGGGTTCTCCACCCCGGTTTCCCCACAGCCCCTCGCCTCGCATCCTCGAAGGCGGCCAAGCCGGGCACCAGGACTACCAGGACGAGCACCGGGGCGTGGCACCGGGGCGGAAAGCCCCATGACGCTGCCGCCCAACCCTCCTCGGCAGACAGTCCGCTTGGAAAATAACAACAAGTCGAAGCGCGCGGCCAGGGACGCAGCGCGGCGAGCGGCAGGCGCCACGGACGGCCGTCCAGAGGCGAAGGCTGGAGTCCAGCCCCAGGACGTCCTGGGCGTCCTGGGCGTGCGTGTCGGACTGTGGGACCTAACCTCACCAGTGCTCACTGTACCATGGCGCATGGCCAGGCAGGCCCCGCGCGCCGAGGCGCCGAGGCAGCGAAGCTCGGCTCGCAGCGTCGCGACGCGACGTGGGAGTCCTCGCCCCGCCCCTAGAGGCCCCACGGCGCACGGCGCACGGCGCCGCGGCTAGAGCCTGGCGCAGCTAGCGCAGCACGCCGCGTTGCAACGCGTCCCAGCCTCGCCGCGCCGCGCGCCGCGTCGCAGTGATACCGACCGTCCCGATTCGTGAATGGGATTGGCTTACCTCCGTCAGCTCGTAGCGGCAGCGACACAGCTGAGTGCGGGCGACGTATCCATGGGTCACTTTGATCACTCAAACACGCACACTGACGCGCTCACTTCACAGACACACACACACACAGTCGGCGGCGCACAATCCACTGGCGTCGAGGTGAAATCCCAGCGGTGTAAGTGTAATCCAGAGGGCGTCGCGGTGCAGGCGTTGCAGGCGTTGCAGGCGGCAGCAACTTGTTGCACACTTGTTGCTCGGGGTGCGCGGCGCGCCTCGTCGACGCGGCGCTGCTTGGCGGAGACGGAGCGACACGGCACTGCAGCACACTGTACGCACCTACACCCGCTTCACGCTTCACGCCAACCACTACTGAGCGGGGAGCGAGCGGGCAGCGGGCCGGGCGGGCGGGCGGGCACGGCACGGCACGGGACGGGCGGGCACGCCAGGGCGGGCGTCGCGGGGCTACGAGGGGTGGGGGTAGGACCGGCACGGTAGGGGTAGGGCGCTGGGGGCGGGGGAGGCAGGGGCAGGGGAGGGGAGGGGGGACTCGGGCAAGCTGGGCAACAAAAGCTTGACACACGTAACGTGGCCTTGGGGCGGCGGCCTGTGGCGGCCTGTGCCTCGGCGCGGCTACGCCGTGCGGCCACGCTGCTCGGGGAGCTCGGGGAGGGGCAGGGGGCTCCTCGGCCAGCCCGAGCCGTGCCATGGGGCTCCACTCGGCTCGGTTCGGCTGTTCGGTCATGTTCGGTCCGGCCTCATGGCGGGGCTCGGGGCCCTCTCGGGGCTCATGGCGGGGCGGCAGGGCGCTGCTGGGGCGTAGCGCGTAGCGGGGCTCGGCCAGGCTCGGCTAGCGAGAACATGGCAGCACGTGGAGGACTCGCTAGCCTCGCGGCGTGGGTCCGTGGACGTCCGCGCAGCGAGGCAAGCCAGGCAAGCAAGGCAAGCGGAGCGTGGGGTGCTTGACCCTTGACCAACCCACAAAATAAAGGAGCAGGACGAGGGCGCCGCGCGGGGGGCAGGCAGGGCAGGCAGGCTAGTGCCGGGCCGTGCGGCCGCGGCGTAGTGGGCACACCCTGTGCGAACCGCGGCAAACCGCCTGCGCCACCGCGCCCACGCACTGCTTGAGGGTGACACGCGTGGCGCCCGCCAAGGACGCCGCCGCGCCGCTGCGGTCGGGACGCCGACAGCGGCGCCTCGACTTTACCGCCGTTTACGACGCGATTCGTCTTACAGTGCGGGAAACGATTTCTCGATCGGCGCCGGCGCCTCTGTGATGGCGGCGCGGCGGCGCCCGACTCCAAGTCCGCGGGACGCGGCACGAGACGCTAGCAGTGCGGCTGCGGCGCCAAGGCTGCGCAGGCTGCGCCGCTGCTGCTGCGCGGGGCCGTGGCAGGCCAGGCCGTGGTAGGCCAGGCCGCGGGACTCGGCGCTCCGACAGGTGGTTCTTTGGCGGGGGGCGGCGCGGCCGGGCGCCAAGGACGCGGCGCGGCGCGGCACGGCGCGGTCCTGGGGGCTAAGGTCAGCCACGGCCGCCACGGCCAGCAACAAGACCCGGCCGGGGCTCTCCGAGGGGCTCCGCCCGGCCCCGCCGCTCCGGCTCCAGGGCCACCACTGTCGGCCCAACCGGAGTTGTTGTTCGAGCGCCGTACAGAGACATCCTGCACGCTGTCTCTCTCGCACCCTTACGGCACGCCCCTGGAGTGTGAGAGAGACGCTGGCGACATCAAAAACACAGCCCAGTGAACAGCGTGTCTACACACTGTATTTCGAACACAGAAGTTCCAGGAGTCTCACTGTTTGGTGGCTAACGAGGCAGCGGCAGTCTCGAGGCGGTTTTGGTTTTCGAGTTTTGGAGCGCGTTCGTGCGCAGGGTACCGCAGAGTAGGGTGGCGTGGCGTGGCGTGGTCGGGGGGTGGCTGGGCTGCTTGGGCTGCTTGGCTGCCGCACACACAGGTGGTGTGGGGCACCTGCTAGGGGCTGGACGGACGGGCTGGATAACTAAACCCTCCCTCCCTTCCTTTTGTTGAGGCCTCGCCATCCCTCTTCGCAGACCTGCCGAGGGTGGCTCAGGCAGCCTGCCCCCCCCCCCTCCCCCGCCTGAAGGAAGAGTGCTGGCTGGCTTTTGTGCCTTTAGACTGTAGTAACGGGAAGACGCGTCCACCGAGAAGACAATTTGGATGTATAATGAGCACGATGGGTCCGTTTGCACCGCGGGGGTGGGCGCGGCCTCAATGAGAGGGGGAGAGAACGACTCTGTTTGCGTCGTTTGCGTGCACGCGTAGTGGCGGCCTCGGTTTAGGAGACCCGCATCCCCTCTGCGTTTCCTTGTTTCCTGGTCGGAGTCTTCCATCGGCGGGCGGGGCCGCGCTGACGAGGAAGCCCAAGGTTTGCTACGCCACTGCCGGCGCGCCAGGCCGCCAGTCGGGGGCGGTTCGACGTCGGAGTGCTCGTCGGCCGCCGGCGGGGCGGGACGAGGGTGGCTTTGGGGCGGCTCGGCGGCCAGGAGGGTCCCTTCCCATTACACCCCCGCCGGGGGCCGGGCGGGCCGGGCGGCGGCAACCCTCGGCCTCGACTCGGCCAGGTAGAAAACCTGCCCGTAATTTATTTTTCCTTTTTCTCCGTGTCACCCCCGGCCCCTCCGGGCCGAGTCCTTCGCGCCGCCCCCCACCCCCGCCCGGGGCCACGACGCACCACGACGGCGTCGAGTGGAGCCGGAGCCACCCCGGACCATCCCCCGGGCCCGCCCGCGTCCGTCGTTCCCCGAAGTGGGGTCCGTGGAGTCGGCGTATCCCGCGCGGCCCGTCCCTTCCAGTGACCCGGCTCCGGGGCGGCTCCGGGACGGCTCCAGGACCGATACTCCCCAAATTGGCGGCCGGGCCAAACTCTCTTCCTGTCCCCCCTCATCAAGCACGCCGTCGTCCTCGCCACGTCCTCGCCGTCCTCGCCGGCCGACTTGCCGATAATAAGGCACGGGGCCGTCCGTAAAACACCTAACGAAAAGGGCCAGACACTGGCCAATCCGACAAGGTCGACGGCGAAGACCGTTTCCCGGAAAACGTGGGGCCACTCTCGCTTGCTCTCCTCTCCCGCTCTCTCTGTTTTTCTCTCTCTCTCTCTGCTGAAAGCGAAAAGCGAGCACCGGTGGGTGCGGCGCGGGTCGGCGCCATCGGGACGCACACTACAAGTTGGTGCACTGCTGTCTTCGCGCTGAGTAGGTGTACATGGGTACGTCGTCGTCCACGTCCACGAGGTGCGACAATGGCGGTAATGGCAGTGTGATGGCGGTGTCCGACTGGCCGACACACGCGCCGCGCCTCCGGCTTAGCCTCCGGCCTTTGCTGCCCGGGCCGGCGGCCAGGCTTGACCCATTTTCACAACGCCGCGCTGCAGCGCTCGTTACGGAAAGTAGTGTAAGGCACGCGTGCGTATACAGTGCGGCGTGCGAGGAGTGGACGTGGACACGTGGACCGCCCGGCGGGGACCTGCCGCGCTGTTAGAGTCGTTTTCGTCGCTCTGTCTCTCTCGCACACCCATACGGGACGCCCCATGAGTGCGAGAGAACGCGCCGTGCCGCACGGGTGGCGTGGCGTGTCCTCCCGAGAGGGTCAAGCGAGCTTGCCGGGGCGCCTGGACGCCGCGACCGCCCTGCTCAAAGGTCGAAATGCGCGGCACGGCACGGCACGGCACGGCACGGCACGGCACGGCACGGCGGGGCCCACGCGACCGGGGCTCCAAAGGCAGCAGGCAGCGCCAGAGGTTGCGTTGGGAAACGGCGTCCAGCGTCATGTCACCGCGGACGGGCGGACAGACGGACGGACAGGCAGACAGACAGACAGACAGACACACAGGACCTGCAGGCGCAGCGGCGCAGCGCGGCGGCGGTGTCACGCGGCAGGTGGGGGCCTGGCAGTGGCCTGGCAGTGGCCTGGCGCTTGCAGTGCACCACCTCGCGCATCTTCCCCCTCCCCCGCTCCAGATGGGTCACGGACGCGGCGCGGGGGGCGGCGCGGGGGGCGGCGCGGGGGGCGTAGGATGCCGCCGTGACGTCGCGTGGAGCGCGCGGCGGAGCAGCAGTCGTCCACTCCACCGGCGGATTCTTCCCGCCGAAGCGCCTCTTCCGCCTGCACACTGATTGATTCCAGGAGCCCTTTCCGTCGCTCTGTCTCTCTCGCACTCATGGGGCGTCCCGTACAGGCGCGAGAGAGACAGAGCGACGAGGCACTGGAAGCCCTCGGGCGGCGTCGCGCCGAAATGTCAGACGGCGCGCCCTGCACAACGAGAACCCCGTCGACGACGGCGATGGCGACGCGTGTAAAGTGTAACGTCTAACGTCGTCCCGGCCAAGACATTGATCTTTTAACTTTATCTGACATGCACACCCCGTGCATGTCGTGCATGGGGGCGCGGGGCTGGCACGTGGGTCAGCGCGCCATGCGGGTGTGCCGCGGACAGACAGACGGACGGACGGACGGACGGACAGACAGACGCGGCGAGAAGGGATGTTGTTGCCTCGTTCCGACCGTTCCGCCCCACGCATCCAAGTCTCTCCGTCTCTGTCTCTCTGCAGCGCGGACGCCGCGGACGCGAACGGCATGCGGGCGGTCGCCTTGGTCGCCCCTCGGCTAATTCACCACCGAGAAGAAGAAGAAGAAGAAGAAGCAGCAGAAGAAGGAGGAGGACAACAACAACGCCGAAGAAGAATGTCCGCGTGCATGCAGCAGGACTGCAGACTCAGTGTGCAATTCACAATTGACACGAGAGCGGACGAAACAATGGCGAAGAAAGTCCGGACAGCGCGCGCAGTCAGCGGGAGTCGAACCTGCTTCCTTTCAGTCTTTCAGAGAGGTCGAGAGGAATAATCGGGCGGTGTCTTCCGACTAAATAACGACTGCACCGTCCGCACTTCTTGAACGAGGCGCATGCGCGGGCCCGCCACCGACACGAGGGAGCCATGACGTCATCCCCGGATTCACAGGTGTGGCCGTGGTGCATCAAAAGTGCGCGCATCGAGTGAGAGCCCGTTCCCTGGGACTTGACTGACACACAGCGCGGCCGGCATGCGCGGTGCACTGTAAAGGTGGCGCGTCTTATCTCTCTCTTTCGCGGTGCACGTGTCGCGCCGGCGTGCTGCAGGCCGGTTCCGAGCGGCACGCTCTGTCTCTCTCGCACCCGCGGGGCGCTCCGTAGGGGCGCGAGAGAGACAGCGTGAACCGGCCCGCTGGCCATCGGGGCGGCGACGACTACGTGTGCACCCGCGGTGCGCACCCGCTTGCATAACCGACAGAAAACAGACAAATAAAAACCGACGGTCTGGGCAGTTCTCGGGGCAGTCCTGCCGTGGTTGCCAGTGTGGGCGCGTCTTCGCGACCAAGTCAACGCATTGC